AGAGTCCGATTCGCACTTGAATTTAATCATTTTAAAAATATATAAGGGAAATTCATGATGCTTAGTAAATATTATAAAACTAGCGTTTTCCTGCGGCTCCGCTTGCATAGTACATTAATCACCAACATATCATTTACTAAAACCTGCTCCGAAACACGCTGCATCTCATGGTATGAGTATTATTCCGATCGGTTCAGTAGTTATCGCAGTATAAACGAACAAAAAAATTGGCTCTCGGTTTATTAGTATAGATTATACCGCCATACATCTTAACCCGTAAAAAAGGACACAAAGCAATTTTTTTGCAATAACTTCATCATATGACTGAAAGCTCTACTAGTGAATTTTCACTACATTTAATCTGATTACTATATAATGTTAAAGTTCTATAAATTAAGAAGATTTTTGACAATTCTCACATGCTACCACAGGTAACACTGATAAAGCAGATGGTTATCTAGTGTCTTGGATTTGAAGGAAAACTATTGTTTTATTATAATTTTCATTAACTACGAAATTAATGTAACACTTCTCATATTGAGTAAAAAGCAACTACATGACTTCTTCTTGGGTAGCGGATACTAATAACAGTAACAAATACCTACAAAGTGCTTAGAAAGAATTTAATGAAAAAATAAACAAAAAATTAATTAATAAAAAAAGGCCTTCGAAAATACATATTAAATTAGCACAAATACACTAACCACGGTAAATATGTCGCGAATATCATTTCGACTACGAATATCGAATTCAATTTAAAAAATACAAATATAAATGAATGAACGTCTTGTAAAGTATACAACAATAATAGTGGGTACTTTTTATAATTCTTTACGATTATAAAGCGAGAGTCATTAGTAATTATTTAAAACGTTGGATTGCCCTTAAACATTTATACGCTACATAGAAGTTAGATTGTCTGTGCAGATAACTTTTTATCGTATCTCTACAAATATCGATGACAATGTACCTATAAATAATTGTAAATAATCAAAAATATATTATAAAAGTAATAAACCCAACTGCATAAAAGCTGACTAAAAGATGAAAACAAGTTGACGAAGGAATATACTTAGTGTGCATTCGGAGACATGTACCTACTCGTATGTCTCCGACTGCATGATACTATATTCCATTTGGTTTTTGCAAATTTTTTGATTATATAATATATTAATAAATTGCATTTGAAATAATATTTAGTAATTTTTTATCCTAAATTACTTTTAAACATATAAGTTAGATATATTTTTGTGATGGCCACTTAAAACCTTTATTTTGATACCTACCCCACTCGATTGGCTTGGAAGAATTTTTTTTTAAAGACACGCAATGTGACGCCTGAAATCCGCCATTTTTATTTTTAACTATTTTATATAGCCTATAACACTCGCATTATCAAGACGAACCTAACGACGTATGAATCATCAAAATCGGCCCACGCGTTTGGTCTCTAGAATGTCACATATAATCACAATACACCTGCTCGTTTGCGTCGCGCAATCGGGTAAAAAGGGTAAGCATGGGCAAGTTCCCAACAAGTAATATTTTTTAAAAACAATAACTTAAAAAAAAACATTAAAATCTTAAGAGGATTGTGAAGTGCCGCTACGCGGCGAGAGTAGGTATTTTAAAAAATGCTATCTGTTTCATACCGCTTTGCATCCCCCTGGCAGTGGACAACACAAATACAACATACGCAAATATGTTATGGCTTTAAAACTTTAGCAGGTATATAAGGAACAGAAATCCGTAAAACGCCCCCGCTGTACAGCTACCCCCGAGAAATGGGGGGATGTAAAATTTTCGATGTCCGAACTTCCATGTCGAAACGGAGCGACGGATAGGCGTAATTTTTTGCGTAGACATAGTTGTGGAGGTCTGGAGAGTAGGTAATATAGGCTACTTTTCACCGCGGGAGATTATCATATTTCCATGGTAAAACACATTATAATACAACCCGAAAAAATATTTATATATGATCAGAAAGTAGGATCCCTACTTGAAACTTGGTATTAATGCTCTTCAATACAATAAAGTAAATACATATTTTAGCATTTTTCGAAATTCATACCTTAAGGGGGTAAAATTGGGGATTAAAGTTTTTATAAAAAGTTTTAGTTTTTTTTCGGTAGGTTTAGCACAAGCGAAGCCGCGAGATCTGCTAGTCTATACATATAATCAAATTGTAACTAAGCCGAATCTGTACATTAAATATTTTTTGGAAAATCTTATTGAAATAGACATTATTATCGATACAGATGCCGAATCTATAGTTTTTAGAATTTTTGTCTCTCTGTCTGTCTGTGACCGCATCACGGAAAATCACTGGAAGGATTTCGATGAAATTTGGTATGATGATAGCTGCTTAACCGAGTCAACATATAGGATATTTTTTACTGAGGGAAAATATCTCATCTCTGAGAAATCTTTACTAAATGTCAAAACGTAACTAGTGACGAAATCGAGCGGAGCAAGAATGAGTCACTAGTGTATCTATGTATATTATCAAAAAATAATTTCTTTTTAACGAAAAAGGTGTACCGATATTAAAATCACTTAAAAATATTTTTTCCGCATTTAGGGGTAAAATTGGAACTTGCCTTTTCGTTTCGTTACGAGAATAACCTATTTATTTATTAACTAGCGATCGGTTCTGTAGATCCAGAAATTACCCCCAACAACGTCACAAACTCACCATTCACAAACTTTACCTCTTTATTATATTAGTATAGATAATTAAATAAAGAATTGTGAAAATCGATCCACAATTGGCGATTATGTCGAGTAAAATACCTAAAAATACTTTACATACAGGTAAAGAACGAGCTTGATGATGATACCTTCTCCTGTATAGGTAACTACATTAAGATGCATCAATAGACCGTAAAAAGTTAGTATTTATCACCTTTGCTTCTCATCTGGTGGACATTATAACATACTCGTATGCAATGAAATATCATATGACACGGTCAAGTGAAATTGAAGTTTTTGTCTGTCTGTCTGATTTTTAAGCCGCTGCCGTATAAAATAAAATTCGTATGTATGTTCGCAAAATACTACATCCCAAACAGTCATTGTATATATGAATGAAATTAACGAATTAAATGGAAAATATAAGAAGTCTAAACACGCGACGTAGCCATATACAGGATATTATATCATTAAATTGCTAAAATCATCGTATATAAATATTGCTACATTTATTTATCAGGCGCAAAAAAAAATTAGCATAACGTATAAACATGAACGAATTATTCGTTCATGCGTATAAAGAAGTACAACTACCAGCATAGAGTATATTGCTACATATATAAAACTACCAGTTTTGTCAAGCTTTGTCGTGATTAGCATTATTTTTCATTTTCCTTTAAATTTGACAGTGAAGGTAATTCTATAAGTTGAAATATTCTTCAAAAATTGAATTTTATTTGAGAATTTAAGCAATTCTCCTAAGGCTTCGTCCAACATTGCCGGCCATCTAATTAATAAATATAATCTAGTACATATATAAATTATAATGGCTGATTTTTGAAATAAGAGTATAATTAGGCTAATTTAATTTAAGAATGCATTTTTTCATTGTCCTTTAGGATTATTTTTCTTTCATTACTTTAACTTCATCTACTGTCATTTATTTGAACTAATTTTGCTTTCTCTGATGAGACTCCATATTTTATTATCTAAAAAATACATTCATCTTATAAAGAATTATAATTTTAATCCAAATCTGTTGTTTCCTTACAGCATGAAATAACAAACACATTATTTTATACAGTTAGTCACACCATTTCATATTTATAAGGGTGACAAAAGAGGAAATAGTTCATCTATTCACTTCTCAAACTTCTGCATCTAAGAAATTACTATTATTAAACATTAATTACACTCAATATTCAATATAAACAAAACTTATAACTTTCACAAAATGGAAGCACCATGATCTATCCAATTTATAATTATACTAGTGACTCACCGCTATCTTCTCACCTATGCTTAGGTTCACACCACTAGGAAATAAAAACAAACCTATCCCACGGGAACCATACATTTTTCTGAGATAAAAAGTAGCCTGTGTTATTCCAGACTATAATCTATTTCTGTGCCAAATGTCAACCAGATCCGTCCATCCGTTCTGGCATGAAAGAGTAACAAACATCCATACCCACAAACTATCATATTTATAATATTCATATATTAGATTTAACTAGTGTCTTCTCCATTCTATGTGACATCGACAAAGTAATCTATGCTCAACTGGCATGCTTTGAAGCCATTAACAAGAGAACTGAATAGTTTTCATTAGAAGTTTATTATTTTCAAAACATTAAATAAAAAATAATTGATAATCATTATTTTTATTACTAAAATAATATCAGACTCTTTTAAAACTACTATTTATACTAATATAAAAATACAAGTATCACACTTAATAATAATTCAAATTATCAAATTGAAACATAATAACAAGATCACTGTCAAAAGCATTAAATTAAAATAATTCTTGAATGTTTAAGTAATTTTACTTAAATAAATTCAATATACAAGCAAGTTAAAGCATATACCAAACTAATTTGTCGTCTATATCATATTTATCATAATACGGTGGACCATATATTATGGCCACACATCAAATATGGTACATAAGATTTAGTAACTATAAAATACTAAACATCATATTGTGTCACTATAGTCAATTTGGCTTGTTGAATTTATTATTTGTAATCATTTTCATATATCTAACAACAGAAGTCTTACAGAAGCCAATGCAAAATGTCTAATTTTAAATTTAAGGCACTGAAAATTACTTTTACATTAGGTATATTGGGATTAATTTTAATGAAGATTAACAATTTCTGATAATTATTCAGAAACTTTTGACTCATAATATGAAATAGTAATAGTCAAATATTGAGAAAATGGCAAGTAACTGAATAGGTTATATACAGCAAGATGTATTATTCTAATTTTTTTATAATCATAACCTATATTGTCCAATGCTAAAAACTGGAGTCAGAATCTGTAAGTTGTTTACCAAACAATTTTTTCATCTTTTCCGGAACTGGTACACCAGAATGTGCTGGCTTAGGCCTACGCTTCCAAGCTGCTTTTTTCGCACTCTTAGAAACACTTCCAGGTAATGGAATGGATTTTTGTTCTTTAGGTTTTGGAGATGACATCTTTGGAACGGTGCTCGTCCGTGGTCTGGATTTCATTGGAGTATTATTAGCTGAAAATAAAAAATAGTAGGTATACATACTTATTTCAGCTATAACATAAAAAACTACTTAACAAAAATATTTAAAACGGCTAATTAATTGAAAGAATGAATACATTATGTTTTTTTATTTAATTACCTTTAAGAACTTTTTCCGTGTTATTTTTACAAGATATAGCCTTTTTAATGGTCACTGGGGACGCCTTAGGTCGTGTTGCTTTTACAATGGTACGCTGAACTTTAGGCGTTGCTTTGGGTGTTTCTCTTGGCGCCATTGTTTTTCTCTCCTTCTCAAACTTATATGTAAAAAGAAGTGATAAGAAAACTAAAATAGATTATAAACAAATACCTCCTACAAACAATGGCAGAAAGCTGGATATGTAATTCAAAATTCAAATCTTTAACGATGTTTGTGTACAGTGTAATGTTGCTTGCATTTCGACAGAATTATTAATTAAAGGTACAATAGCTTTATAATTTATAAGTAACTTAATATATATATATATCCATTCCAAATAGTCAATAAAAAATAATTTGAATAAAACACTCAAATCCATCGTATAAAATTTTAAATTATTAAATAATATTAAATTTAATAATACGGTTATGATTTGCTGTAGGGTAACATTTATAAAATGTAAATAGTGATGAACGATTATCACTTAGCTATTATGATTACGATTATTTCGCTTCATAATCGATTACCATTTCGATTACGATTAATTCTGTTTCTGAATAAAACATTCCATAAACTATATTGAAAATTATTTGCTGATAAATTAATAACCTAAAATTAAGGAATTTTAAATTTTTGTTCTGAAAACATAACATTTTAAGCTTGTCGGCCGTCGATCTGTTCCTTTTATCATTTTGAATCAATCCAGCAATGGAAAATAACCCCTCCGATGCTACGGACGATGGATTGAAAGATATTTTTTTGCTATTTCTTTTAGAAGGGCATATTGTGTTGCTTCTTTTCAATATTGAACACACACGCATGGTAAGATTCATATTATGTGCATTTAAAAAGTATGTTAATTTCTTTAAAAATATAAGTCATAAATAATCGCTAAATAATCGCAATGATAATGGTCGATTACGATTAATCATAACCGTAATCGTTTCATGATTAGTAAATACAGATAGTCATAATTCATATCTTATTATCAAATGTTTGACCCATTTTAAATTATTGCCCTTAATAAAACTATTATTATGATGTTATAAATAATAAACATGTAATACTTTAAGTTTATAAAATGATAGACTATTCAAAACTTTACTTAATTTAAAATGATACAATATTTTTTTACTTTAGATGATTTATAGTATTTAAAATAATTTAACTGTATCTTATTAACGCTGACGGATTCATTTTGAGCACAGAATATAACAATGATTCATCTTATTTTTATCATTTTAAATGTTTTGTATTTTTATTTTGTTACTTGTAATATTTTTCTACTAAATCTTTTATAATAATATATTGCATTTTTATTACATGTAGCAACTTTGTTATCTATTTTTCACGACGTCCATCTTTAATATTTGATGTGTTGTGTTGTTAAGAAAATTAATGCAAAAATAATATTAAAATACTTTTTACATTATATACTGACTAATATTTTAGTTGACATTTAAGTTACAAGTTATTTTAACATTTTGTTAACTTTTGCTAAACCGATAGGTCGATGTTTCTTAAAAGTGTCACAGTTTCATTATCGTTTGTTCCACTAAAAAGTTTCACTTGTAATTCGCTGCTATTGACCTAAGTGCTAATTGGCCAACCTTCAAATGTTTTCTTCAGCTTCGATTTAACTGATACAGTGTGATTAACCGCGTCCGTTTATCTAGTGCTATTGTTATTTTTGTTGTCAAAACAGATGAATTGTGAAAATGGATAGATTGAATGAAATACGGAGTGAGGCGGGAAGCTCGCGGGATTTAACACTGGACACTTCGTCTCCGCCGAGTGAATCTTATATGACAGCTAACGAGAGTTCTTCAAAATATTTTTCTCTATCTGAAGTAGATTCGACATTTGAAATATCCCCCTCGAAGGATACGTCGAACGCCGAATCGGATGGTACCTTAACTACTGATTCCGACTTGATCTCTAATCTATCTCCGATTCCGAAAAAAAATGATTTAGATAGTTACAATATTGGTAAACAAATAGAAGCTGCCAATATTTTGTCAGGTGGTGTCAATATTTTTGATGATAATGAAAATTCTTATGATGGTGATGAGCTTGTTATAGATGATAATGTAGCTGTGGACGAGGAAAAGAATAGTGAGAAATTAAATGAAAGTACAGCGCTTTCTTTAGAAAAAACTGTAGAAAGCTTGGAAAGCTTAGATGAGTCTGAGGCTATACCGAGTAAAGATACTGAAGTGGTGCTACAAATAGATGGAAAGAATGTTAATGCTATTGATATTGGTAATGGATTATATTTATATAGAAAAGCTGGTCAAGAGGAACTGGCTGCTGTGCAGATTGTTGATGATGATCAACAGCAGCCAAGCTTTAAGTTTTTAAAAGTGCGGTAAGTTTTTAATTCTCTAATATGTATATGATTTCCATTCAAACTTGACATATAATTTTTTAATTTCATTAATAATTTATTCAATATGTGTGCAAAAGCAAAATTTTCAAAAAGTTAAATTTATAATGAAATATAAAATTTTAATCTAAAAATATATGTATTATGAGTTACGACTTTGCAAAAATGTATAAATGTGTGTGTTTCTCACTTTTTCGCACTGCAATAAGTTCTTGATTGACAAAAAGGATAATAATACTTTTTATAAATATCAACATTTCAGTATTTGACCTGCCAACAAAAACTATACATAATATAAGTAATGAAATGAAACAAATTTTGCAATTACTTTATTAAAACGTAATATAGATATATTATGACTTGATAAAGAAATAATATATCAACAATAAATAAAGTAATATTTATAAATAATTTCTCACTTAATTTAAAATTAATGTAAAACATAATATTACTTATTTTTATATATTTTTAATTTATTTTTCTCTTTTACATTTCTCTTTTAATCTAAAAATTCACTATTTATCAAATGTTATATTACTATAATAAGCAAAAATGAAAATATAAATTTTGTAAATAAATAATTTCAATTAAAGTTACTTAGTAAAAAATCAATAAAAATGATATTGCATAAATAATCAGTTGGTTTTTTCTTTAAAAAATATAAACACAGTTTGATATGTATAATTTTTTTAGTGGTTATTTATCATTTAATCTTCTTTGTTTGATACTAGAATAACTTAGTGAATCCATTTTTGAATACATCTGAAAAGATTAGTAAATTGGAACATAATAGCACAATACAAAAGGTCAGAAATCGAGTTATACCTATGCGCGTCGCGTTCGGTATACACTCGGTAGACAACCGTGCGGGGCTGCCACATCGTATAATTTGATACAAAAATTTTATAAGATGGTTATGTTATGTAACTTTTAACTTTTAATTGGGTACAAAAATAAACATTTTATTCCTCTTGTAAATTTGCTATTATGTCAAACAAAAAAGTATCGAGACATCATATGTTTTAAAAATAAAAACTTATTAATTAAATTAAAAATAAAAATTAAAGTATTTTTAATTAAACTTTTTATCCGAATGCGGATTCTTTATACTATTAAATTTAACAATAAAGCTTTTTGTATGTCTCAGTCGAGGTGCAAATATTTTTAAGTCTCAAATTTATAAGGGTCACATACCACCCTTATAAATTTGAGATTTTTTAATTAAATCTACTAATAATATTTTTTAAATAAAATATATAATATTTGAAATCACAAAACTAGAAAGAAAGTCAAGTAGGTAGATGAAATTAAAATACTGGCCGGTGGGCAGCCCTGTCGCGTGGGTACGTGCCGCTCGGCTGTAGGTAATTGTTCCAAGGACAGGCCCGAGTTGGAATACTGTATGCATTACATTACCGTGATAATAGTAACAAAAATTTATAAACAAAAGCGTACTTGTGTTTAAGCAATCTAAGGATTATGATTTGACTTACCTAATAATTCATAATGGCGACTTATCTTGGTTTTGCTTGGGTGTGACCCTAGGTATGTTTTTATTTTTTCCATCAGAACCCTAATTCTTTTTCCAAAATAAAAGTAGCCTTAGTTACTGCTTACAACAGCAGCTATCTGCCAGTGAGAGTCCGCTCGGTCCAGCTGTTTTGGAGATTCCTGGAACACAGATAGGCAGACAAAAAAATAAAAATTGTGTGTATTCTTATAATAAGTACTGTATATATATTTGACATTACAAACAGACTTCAGTTTTATTTATCTGTATAGATGATGATGAAACAACTCAGTGCAGTATGATATGTGTCTATTGTCTATTGATACATAATAATAAAATAACTTGTAATAGTTGTAGTTTTAACATAATCCCATTTAAATGATGACTATATAATTAATATTATATAGTCCCGCATTAAATATCAGTCACAAATTTCAGATCCTTGTAGAAATACAAAACTGTGTGGAAACAGTTGATTAATAAAGTTAAAAAAATGGGTTAGAGATTAAAATTTCAAAATAATTTAATTATATATTATTAATTACAGAGAAAATGCAGAGGGAAATTTGGAAGTTTATGAAGAAATTGAAATTGAAGTTCCAAAAGAAGTGGTTAGTATCATCCAAATTATGTATGTACTTATTTATTTATGATTAACATAATGCTATATAAATTTATCTTTCTCTTTTCAGCCTATCAAGGAAGGGAAACTTGTTGAAAAGACCTCCCATGTGCCTATAAAGGAAATAAACAAAGTGATAAGTGAGCCTTCAATAAATAAAGTCACTGAAAAAGTAAATGTAACACCAAAGAATGATTTAAGTATAGCGAAAGAACCAGGTTCTGAACCTACTATTGATTTGCTAACTGAATCAAAATCTGAAGTAAACTTAAATGGAAAAATGATGAAGTTTAATGAATCTCGAAAATCTCCTGTCATAGGTACATTTACACCTATGACATTTCACTCCACACCAAATAAAGAAGGAATTCCTCTTACAAAAACTATGGTTGACCAACAATTGCATCCAAGTCGACATTCAGATAATATTAAAAAGACCATAGAAGTTCATACAGATATTAGCAGACAAAAATTATCTGAAACACCTACAAAAAGTAAAGATAATAATACCAATGAAATAATAAAAACTGATGAGCAAAGTGGATTGGCTGGAAATGAAGTTGAAAAAGAATTAGAGACGGACTCAAAGCAATTACTTATGGTTTCAGAGGCTTACATTACTGAAGATAATAAAGAAGCAGATACCTTTGCTAAAACAGAAATAAATTGTAAAGAGTCTGTTGCAGTTAAGGAACAAACAATTGACCAGGAGGAACCCAAGCATGACCAAGACCAAAAGTTAGAAATCTCTCAGACTGAGAAATATGTAGAAAATATTTCTACAAAGGATGAGAATACTTCAATAAGTATTCAAGATGCACAAACAAATGAACTCTCTCCAAATCTAGTATCAGAAAAACATAAAGAGGATACTGATCTCCATACTAAAGTTGAGGAAATTAATTCTGTTAAAGACATTGTTACTGAAAAAGTCTTAAAAATCGACAGTACATTGTCAGATGAGAAAATGATAGTAACAGATGTTGAAATGCCTAATACAGGAGATTCAAAAGAAACTACATCAATAAAAGAAAGTGACAAGAATTCACAACCTAAAGAAGTAATTGAAATATCAGATGAAGAAACCAAACAAGGTGAAGACACATCATTAAGGAGTTCTGTTGATGAATCAAATTTAGTTATTGATGATGAAGTTATAACTAATACAACAGAAAGCAAAGTCGAAAATGAAAAACTTGAAGAAAATGCTACAGAGACTTCATCGAAAATTGTTGAACGAAACAATGAGCGTTTAGAGGAGAAACTGTGTGTTTTAACTAAAGTAAATGAGACAAATGAAGTTGTTTGTGATAAAAAATTAATAACAATAATTCCACCCCATACAGAAAAACATGAAATTGAAACAATTGAAATAAAAGATATTACATCTGATAATATTTGCACAGTAGTATTGCCAAATGAAGATCATCGTGGGATAACATCACATAAATATATCGAAATAAACAATGACAAGCACGATGCAAAAAATGTTCAAAAAACTAATGACCATGAGAAACTAAAGGTAAATTCTGAACCACCTGTGGATGATAACAAATTCGATAGTGAAGATGTGCACAATAGTGAATTAAATGATGTAAAGCAAATTATGAAAGAAAATGACATTGCATTAGAAATTGTAAGCACAACAAATTTATCGGAAGAGAAAAATGTCATAGTGCCTGCACAAGAACCAATGAATAAAGAAAAACCTAAGGTTAATATTGTATCTAAACTAACATTTAAAGATACTAAAATACCTCATGTTATAAGCAATAACAAGCAAAACATACATACAAAACCTCAATCAGACACAAAAAAAATTGATGCAAAAATAGAACTTCCAAAAAAATGTGCTCTTCCAAAACCAAATAATAATAATAACAGCGCGGTTCCCTTTGGGAAATGGACTGAAGCTAATAGGCAAGAATTCTTAAACAAAATCAAGGAAGCTAAGGTGCCATCGACTACAAATGCTCAGCAACTAAAACAACCTAATGATCTCAACAGAAGAGACATTTTGAAGAAAATTGATAGTCAAAGGCAAACATCCATTGTGAATGCAAAATCTGCAGATTATGGAGCTATATCTAAGCTTAACATCAAAAAAGAAACTACAGTTTTTGTGAATAAAACCCAACCAGCACAATCAAATATACAGGAAACAAAAGTTGTAACTGCTAAAATTCAGCAACCATTGACTAAACTTAAACCGCTAATGCCTAAAAAGTTACAAAAAGACGATTCAGCAAATCCTATTCCAGCTACGAAAAAAAGTGTGCAGAGAAAAGAAATTAATAATCAAGAGCTGATAGATAAAACTATTGAAGGAATCATTAACAGAGCAATGTCAGGAAAGTCCTCTGACACTGCGTCAGAAAAATCTTCATTTGAAAAACAAAAGGATACTAAGCTAACAATGGATGATATTGAAATGAAAATGAATGAATTGCATGGAATATCGAATGAGGAGCGAATGACACATGCAAATCCACAGTCTATTGCTAATGACAACACAAAATACTCTAAACAAGAGGTTAAAGTGAATAAAAGTACCAAAATACCTAACCTCTTACCATTCAAGAATAAAGATCAACCTAATGTCAAGGAAAATGTTGCTGAAGAGCCTTCAGACGAAGAAATAATAGAGCATGAACCAATCACGGGAGATATAGATGTGAACAAACAAAGCCTTATGTCTTTATTGTCAAGTAACGATAAAGTCCAAGAAATTAGAAAAGAAGCAATAATTACAGAAAAAGATTTTGACAAATTTGCAAGAAGAAACTCTATTACTTATGAAAATTGCTTGACAGTCAATTTTGATGGCAAAGAGCCTCATAATGTTATACAAACGGTAGTAGAAAAGGATCCGCCTATCAAAAAATTATCCAGAAATGAATTGATGCTTGCTGAATCTAAAGCAAAATCGACTAATAAACAACAAATTGCAATGAGACATAGTAATCAATTGAGTAAAATACCTACAAATGTAAAAACAGGGAGTGACGAAGAAGCATTCAGCAAAAATTATCAATCTAAAGTCCAAATAGCTTACCAAACTGCTTTAACCGCTAAGAAACACTTAGAATGCCCCATTCCAATAATTGAAGATAAGCCGGTTAAAGTTGTTTACAATATGGATTCTGACATGGAATTTACACCAGGGCAGCTAAATGTGCAAGGACAAGAACTATCGCCTACTAAAAAACTTACAACGGAATCTGATATTGTAGTGAATAGTGCCTCTGAATCTCTCGATTCTGACATAGTAGAATCTAATTACGAAGTCAAAACCGATGAAGCAAAATCTAAAAGCAAACATCAGAGAAAACAGGTTTTGACTCCAGTTGAAGAACCAGAGATAGAATTAATTGAACCTAGTGATTTAGGTATTGAAGTATCTCCCAAGAAAAAACGTAAACTAGAGGATAAAGGCGAGAAAATCTCTAAAAGTCTTGTGCCAAAGAAAACTTATCTACTCAATCGTAATATTATTGATGAACAAGTATCGAAATCTCAAGAATCCATAAAGAATTCAGTTAAAGAAACTGAAAATGTAACTAATACCTTCTCCAATCATACAGGTGCTATATCTGCATTAGATAACTTAGTTAAGGCTGCTGAATTAATTGAAAATCAATCTGAACATAACAACACTTTGTCTAGTGTTCGGTCAACTGATAGTCCCCAAACTACGCCAGTTAAAAGAGGTCGAGGTCGTCCAAGAAAATATCCATTGCCTGAGCCTGGATTAGATGTAAGCAAAATACCAAGTCCTCAAAAAAAGCCTCGATTAATAGATGCTAAACCGCCAAAGAGTTATACAGATTCAGATGAAAGTAGCGATGGAGAAATTATAAAAGAAAATTGGACGATGGGCAAAATTAATGAAAATATAGTGTGCCCGATTTGTTCAAAATTATTTAGATCAGAAAATGTCGTGTTTAAACATGTCAAGCATTGTACTGGTCCTTCGCCAAATAGATCTGAGTCAGATAAGAGAAGTCCAAGGAGATACAGACGAGGTGATTCACGCGATTCTGATAGGAAATCTCTAGATAGTGAATCAGACTATACAGATGATGAGGAAGAAAAAATTCGACGTCGCAAGTCGAATTACAAAATTTCTAAGTCTATAAATGATAATGACGATGTTATTGTAATCGAAGATACACCTGTCAAAGAGAAAGCAGAAAAACTTCATAAATCAAAAAATCCTGAAACTAAAATTCCGGAATCTAAGAAAACTGTCACAAAAGCTAAAATTCTACATAAAACTAATAACCTTATTTGTGAATTTTGTGGTAAAACGTTTAGACAGCTATCATATTTAGTGAACCACAAGTTGCAACATAAAAGAGAAGTTAGGAATTCAGAAAGCGAAGAACAGATATCAAGTAGATCAGTTTTTAGTTGTGAAGTTTGTAAGAAAGAGTTTAGGAAACTTCACCACTTAGTTCAACATAGAAATATTCATAACCCTACTTCAATGAGTAGTAGAATATTAAGAAAAAGTTCATCTGAACAACATGATAACAAAATATCAAAAAATCCATCTATTGATTCAAAACCAACTGACGATGCCAGTGCCGGTTTTAGATGTGAGCCATGCGATAAATCATTTAGAAAACTACATCACCTCGTAGAACATAGAGAAACACACGACGGCATAAATAAAAAAGGTTCTAACCCACAAAGCTCTAATGAAACGTCTAATAAACCAGCAATAGCATACCACTGCGATAAATGCAAAAAGATATTTAAAAAATTACAGGATTATTTGGAACATAAAGATCAACACTTAGAAACCAGTTCAGAAAAGTCAGACGATAAAAGCGTTAAGAGCTCACTATCAACAAAAGACATTATCCACGAGTGTTCACTTTGTTATATGGTGTTCCCTAATGAGCATTCTTTGAATAAACACACTGTTATTTGTTTACGAAAGAAGAAACAATCTGCAGCGAAGCAAGCAGCCAAGCAAACTGAAGGACAAGAAACAATGGACACAGATGAGCTTGTTGTCAGTGAAAATATATCTCAAGAAGATGAATCAAGCAAAGAAAATGAAAGCGTGGAACACAAAGAAGGAACGCCTAACGATATAGAACAAGAATGTGAGATTTTAGAACTGAATAACAAAGATGAAGAAATGCCGGAGATTCCATTACAAGAAGATATAAATGATAAAAATAAATTGGAAAGAAAAAATAGCTGTAAAGAAAGGAAATCAAGTGATAAGGAAATTATACCGGAAAAAAGGAGCAGTGCTGAACCAGAAAAAAGTATAGCTGCTGAGACAGTAACACCTGAAATAGATGAGTCTGAAACGCCTATTAAAATCAAAAAATTGGATGTCAATGATGTTATTACCATTACTGACAGTCCCATTTTGAAAAAGAAGACGCCAGTTAAAGATAAAATAGCTACGACTGGGACGAAACGACACAAGACTGTTAACGTATCTCTTCCAGTCGTCGACGAAACTACGCCTATGGAATCAACCGACGAAGACGAAATACGATATATGTTGAATCCAAACTTTAAAGAAAATGAAAGTACTGAACGCAAATTGTTTATGAAAGTGAATGCTAAAAAACGTAGTTCTCTTCAAATCGAACGACCAAACTCAAAAGATTTAGTGAAGAGAAGGATTTCGCTGCAACATCCACCAAAAATACCACGGTTAAAAGTGAAGGCTGTTGAAGCCAGGCCTATTAATTCCCTAGCAGTAGAGAAGAAATTAAAAATGTCAGTAGTAAAACCACCATCGTCCACAGATTCTGACGATAGTGATGTAAAGTATTCTTTCCCAAAAACAAGCAAAGAAGATACACAAAATGTAGAGAAAAAAGTCAAAAAATCATTGGCCGCTAAGCGAAAATCACTGGGCGGAATAGCGAAAAGGAAATCATTGGGAAAGCACAAAATGGCGACGCCCACGAATAAAACTAAGAAACGTGAGTATTATAACCCTAAATATACAAATTATTATAATTTACGCTTTCTGATTGTAATGTAAATATGTCACTATAAATTTTTGTTCCAATGTCTCAATATTGCAATCATATTTAACACTAGCAACTTCGCTCGGGTGCGCCTCTGAGTGCCTAACAGTAGCTTAGCTAGTAGCTATGTGCTGCTTCAGGTTATAATCTGTGAACTAAATTACATCCAAATCTCCCTAACCGTGTAAACATGAAGTGGCATACATACACATATCTCTCATTTATATAATACTTGTTCGATTTTTACAGGCACAACAGAAATCGAGCATAGATGCGATTGCGGGCAGTTGTTCAGTAGCGCGGCATTGCTCTCGCGGCACACGACCCTCGCACACACGCCCCCTCGAATACGACGTCGACGGTCCCCCCCACCGCCGCCGACACGACAAATAGAGCCCCGAACAAAATCCAAAACAAACGTGCAATCTAAAAAGCTCAAAAGTGACCTTCCCTCGAATAAAACCCCTACCAGGAAATCTAGTGCTAATAGTAGTGAAAAAAAAACAAGTGATGTGGTCCAAATCGAATTTGTAGGCAAAAAACTGAGAAGCTCCGCTCATAGAGGTGTGCCTGTGCCAGACAAAATGAAGAAGATGATGGATAAATTAAAAAAGTAAATAGTTGTTGACTGAATAGGATTTGGTGGCGTAGTTAGGTGGAATTCAGGGCACAATAAAGCCTTAATTATCACGAAAAATTAGAAAATAATATTTGCATGAGGTTTTGAATCTATGTAACATCATGGGATTTGCAAATGAAAAGAGATATTTTAATAGAGCCCAACTCTAAGTATGACACCTAACTATGCCTGTAGTAGGATTTCTGGATATTATATGAAAGATGAAAGGCTAGAGTAGGATAGGGGTCGCTAGTATGTAGATGAAATCACGCATCACAAGCGCTCACAATGATGTAACAGACGGACCATTGTTTAATAGATATATTTTTCCTATTTCGGCATGTTTAATACACCAAATGACATATTTTTAACGTAATATGAGCGTTAGTCTTAAATGGGGTAGCTAGGGAAAATCAATCTGATATTTAAAAAAACAACAGTAAGAAGGGAAATCCCCTCAGTAGGACCTTAGGACATAACCTAGCTAACCTATATATCGGTGTCTATATGTAAATTTGCAAACTTAAGAATCATATATAGGTATATATTTTGTCAATTTGTTCTAGATGTATGTAGATATATGCAAAAGAGTAATTATTTATATTTTTTATTAGTTTTAAGATGACATCCCCTTTTTCTTTCCTTTTAGTGCAGTGCAGTTTTGGTTTAACTGTTGTATTTTAAAACACTGCACAAAACAAGATGGCGATTAATATTTTGATTCATTTTTTATTTCTTAATGGAATATTGAGTAATCATAATAATAATAATAATTTAGTGTTGTAAAATCGAATATATTTTATAATATAACTTTTGAATTTGTATACCAAAAAAAATCAAATTGTTAAATATTCCTAAAAAGTTGATTTGTAAGCAAACATTTACATTTTCTTTTATAAAAAATATATAGGCATTGGACATAATAAGTAACATCTAATATGAATACAAATTTTAAATCTTTTATCATCTGTCTTTTCCAACAATGAGTAACCTCAAACTTCTTTCTTACTAACAAGTCCACTTTGTTACCATTAAAGCCTTAATCACTAAGGCTAGTGCTAATTTAACTTTCAATTATAATTTCAACATTCACATAATTTCTCAATTAGATCTCTGTATTTTTTTTATAATTAAGTTTCTGGCCAGTGTTGCTATGTTACGATAGAAAAAAAATATGTGATAAAAATTGGCTTCCGTTTGTACTTAACGAAATTTTGGCGATTATTTGTATGAATATTGATATTATTAAAAAACTTAGTATTAAATTTGCAGAGTAATCGAAACTGATGTGGGAGCAACACTGGTCTTGTTTTAGTTTTAAAGCACAATCTCAAAGTAATGTAGAGCATTCAATGACAGAGTAAATAAGAGTTGTCAGTCTTGAAATAATCTCTATTCCTGGTTTGCCCATAAAATATCCATAGACGTAGAGAATGGACTGAGTAATACTATCATGAAATTGACCACTCTAGAAAGAGAGAAAGCGAACGTGCGGCCAATACCTGTCTTTTATTGTAATTTGAATTTATAAATAGAATGTAAAAAAAATATTATATTATAATGGAATGTAAAATCATTATAAATATCTTCATTAATCGTATTTTAATTATTACAGAAGACTTCTGACTGCATATTTGTCTCTGTCGCTTTTCCGCCATTTTCAGCTAACGGCTGGCAAAAAGAAATAGTCCACTCTATGTCTATGAAAATATTCGAAGATGTTAAATGTACTGGAATTAAAAATCTTTCATATAAAAAAAAATATTAAATTAAAATGAGTAAGTATCGGAACGATTTTTAAAAAGGGCAGGGTAAAATTTTGCACATAAAATAGACATATCGGAGTTTTCTTTTTTGTACATTTGTGATGTATTGATGATAAGTTGATGTACCATGAGCTTATGAGATATGTTTGTTATTTTTTGGAGGAATTGTATTTGCTATAGCAAATAAGAGCTTCCCTTTGGATCGTTTCTCGCGCTTCGTAGTTTATTAGGATAGTGAAGAGCTAAATTCATGTTAACAGACGTGTAAGCCCTACATTTGGAAGATTTTAATATATGAACTAGTTTATAGATAAAATTGTATTTTGGGATTTTAAATATAAACATGTTGAATAGGAAATACGATCGACCACACAGTAGCAACTCTTGTAATAATTTCATCATTCTAGCAAACTAGGACCAAAATTTAAGAAAAAATATTTGTAATGGTAATAATATATACTGTTTTTAATTTTAATTGATGTTTATTCTGCTCTCGTGACTAACAATGATTTATGTTATTAATAGAAAATATAGAGTAGTATCTTTTTAAAATGAGTAAGCATTTAACATAGATTTTATATATGTAGATGTATATGATTATTTTTAATACGCAATTTTCATTGATGGGTTATAATGTCATAAAATGTGCTGTTTACTTTAAAGTTTCATAGTTAAAAGGTGTTTTATTAATAAAATATTCTGTGTTTTGTATGTTGTAAGAGATATAATTTGTAGTAATTTTTGACAATAAATAATTACATACACACTGGGTTTAAATTATAACACTATAATATAATACTATATTACTACATATAAATATAAATAAATAACCCAACAGAAATTCTGTTGGGGTATCTAGTGTCGACTTTCCAATAAACATCTATACATATAATAAAACTGTAGAGGTCGAATGTTTGTACATAGAACAAAAATGTTAAAAACCGAGTCAGACGGATGTAAGAACAGAATTAGAACAAATCCAGATTTTTTCAATTTTTTTGTTTCTCTGTCTGTCTGTACGGGCTAATCTCCGAAATGTTGGACGGATTTTAATGAAATTTTGCATGGTGGTTGGTAACTTATATCTCCGGTCAACATTTTAGATACTTTTCATCCCGGAAAATTAAAGAGTTCCCGTGGGATAGTTAAAAAACTATAGTAATTTTTACAGCTTAGTACACAAAAACTACTGATTGGATTTTAATGAAAGTTTACAATAATATAGTTCACACAACAGAATAACAAATAGGTTTTCCCGTGAGATAGATTTATTTTCGTTTGCCTAGAGGCGAACCCGAGCGAAGCGAGGGTGAGCCGTTAATTAACAATATAATTTTATAGAATCAAAGCCGTCGCCCGTCATGGCTTCATTCATCTACATATTTTATTTTGATAAACATTTTATTATTATATTCACTAGTGACTTAACCTCGCTTCGCTCGGGGGCGTCTCTGAGTAAATTTTTTTGAGCGGAGCCCTAATTTTTTTTTATTAAGGTAGCCTCAGTTACTAAACATCAGCTATATACCAGTGAAAGTCCCATCAAAGTCAGTCCAGTCGTTTTGGAAATTAGCTGGAACAAACAGACAAAAAAATGTGTTTTTCAAGTTCCGTATATAATTTTATATGCATTAAGTGAACATTTATTTGTCGTTAATTTGAGATAACAAACAGACACTTTAATTTTATTCATCTGTACAGATTACATACATACATGAATAGATGAGAAGATTCCAAAATAATAAATAACAAATTATTTATTTCATTCAAACTACATAAATTTAACCTCTTTCACAAATAATATCTACGATACTGGGTTCCATAAGCTGAGGATCAACGCATCGTATCTGAGCAGATGCAAGCGCGTCTTCCAATAGTGCATTCAGTAATCTTTCGTCATTTCCCATACAAGACAATCTTTGTTGAAGGAAATGCACATCGACCTGTAGTTGTTGCAAACCATGACGACTGAAAGTTCGTAATCTAACGCATTCCACTAATGCTTTTAAAGCTACTTTCAATGCGCCATTGGATAGCGCAGCCCGATCCGCACCGGCTGGACTGAAAACTTCAATTCGTTCGGAGAATATTCTATTTATAGGTGAGAAAGACGATGGGGCTCGAGACCAAATAGTTCGACGACTGGAGTCGCTTGATGGTTTAATACTTGTAGGGAATAGTTGTGATGCAGCACTGTCTGCACTTGCAAGAGTCTCAACGACTCTTCTACACACCGCTCTCGGACCTCTAGGCTCCGGTGCTCTCAACCAATCTCTCGCTAGTACTGAAACGCGTAGCATTTGAGCCGCAGTTTGCCCAATAAAGACAACTTCCGAATCTAAAGCAGTTTGGGCTGCAGTAGACAAATGAACCATTACACTGTTAGTATCCTTTTTATCCATCGTTAGACCTGGAGCTGATTCTTCCAGTAGTTTTAAAAGGTGGTTGTGTAAGGTATTTACTCCACTTTCCTGCATTTCAAGGCAGAGCTTTGCTAATATAAGTAGAAGTTCAAATGAAATGTTATTAGAAGTTTGGAGAGAAGCCAAGTTTTTAACCAAACCAGAGAGATTAATAAGGGTTTCCGAAATAACTGTCCAACATGCATCAGCAACTGCCCTTCCACACCATGGTTTAAGTCCAAAGGAAAGTTTATTTTGTAGGAATGCCATTAAATCTAGTAATGATGCTTGAACTTTCTGCAATAAGTGAACTTGTAAAGAGTTCAAAATGTCTTTCAGATCAGCACTTTCTGTACCTTTACTGGCAAGACTTTGTCTCACCCTCATGAGATTTTCCTTAAATTGTGTTTGTATAGTTTCATATTGCACAGTTGCTTTATGATTTATACATTGTATAACAACATCCAAAGCTTTATTAGAAACTGAATCACTAGAGATAATTTCAGACATAGCCTGCAATTTTCTAAAGAATTTATCTAGGCCTCTTATTAAAATCTCTGTCCCTACATTTTCAGGTCTTTTGATAACTTCTTCAAAGAGCTGAAATACTTGAGTCATAACTTTATCAGCAAACTCTGGGAGATTTACATTCTCCTTATCTTGAAATATATCATGGTAACATGAGATTACAATACCTAAGTCTGCTAATAATGTGTTGTTACATTTTTCTACCCATTCTAATATATCTGAACTATCCACAATCGAGCTCAGGCTTCTCAAATGTTGATCTAAGCGACCTTCAGCACAACTCAAGAAAATCTCTTGCAAAGATGAATCAGTTTCTTGTAACTGTCTCAATAAGCCTACACTTTCAGCTAACTCTGATGCTGAAGTATCAGGCGATAGAAGTCTTTCATGTAAAGTCTTTTTTAAATCACATATTATTTCAGAACATTCAGATTGAATACTTTGAAAAGAGGGCTGATTACCATATTTTTGTAATACTCTTTGGGCATGCGTATAGTCATTTACTGCATCAACATATCTGTTTTCTTGAACTGCTTTATTTAATTGAGAGGGTAATAAGAAAACGAATTGTAATTTATCTAGTAGTTGTCGAGTACTGCATAGTCTGTTTACAGTATTACCACTTTCTTTCAAATTATCAGAAATTTTAGAACTGAAAGTAGTAATATTATTAATATTTTCACTTAGTTTATTCATTTCCTCTTGCATTATTTGAAAGTCAGAGCGCATTTTTCGTACTGTCTCTGTCGCTGATATAAACTTATTATAGTTTTCGTATACTAACGTTTGCATTTCAGATTGTAAAAACTGACTTTGTGTAACAACTTCGGCTTCTTTATCCATTACCTGCCTAAGTGTAGCACACTTTAGAAGGCAATCTAAATACATTTCAGAGTTAAAATTGCTGCCATCAATATCTAGAGGGTTTTCGTTGTCTTTTGAAGATTCAGCCATTTTTTAACTATAAAAATTAAACTGAGATAAAAATATTGTACTTCTTAAATTCCATAAATCTTCAAGACAAGAATGAAATATTTTACAAAAAATATTTTTCACTTTTATTTATGTCGATGTCACAACATAAACTCAACTCACAACTGTCAGTGTCAAGCCATGAGCCAAATTAGCGATGTATAGCATAAAGGTAGGCTGGTCGACTCGAGTAAGCTATCTGTAATCGATCATGTAAAATTTATATAAGAAAATCTTTATACAGAATATAAAAGTAGAAAGAAAGACGAAATATAGATATAGAATTCAAAAATTCACTTCACAACTCCAAAGATATTAGTAAGTAAAGAGGTTGCTCTTGAAACAAAAAAGATAAACCTCTTGGACGCGTCAAGCCTATTGTGTAGGCTACATGTATAACTCGCGTCATCTAAAAAGAACGCTGGAAGAAAGTGGAGAGGGTATGTTTGCGCATGGGTATACTCGCGCACAAAAGTACTAAGCCTATTATTTTATTTTTCATAGCATTTCGATCGCGGCTTCATATATTAGTTATTGGTACATTGTGTATTGTGGTATTGGGACATTGAAAAATATATTAGATAGAATATCATTAAATAGAATTCTATTCATTATTAAAATATGTTTGATTCAGTACAGATTGTTTAATCTATTTACAAAAAATTAAATTAATACGTTTAATACATTTCTTTTATTATTAACTGCATTATTATTAGACTCTCTCTTTGTAAAACAATATACGTCAAAAACAATTTGTCTCTTTTCTATATATAAAACCATTTCGTAATTAAAAACTTTTGTGTGCGCGATGGTATTTCGAACTGACGAACCAATAGTGCGCCGGCAAGCATGCGGCGCGTGCCGCGCTGCCCCGAGCCGCCCCGCGCCCCGCTTCTTACCACCAATTTGACCGATAAATCGATTCTGCGCAGCTTGACAGCCAGTGTTCTTTTTAGATGACGCGAGTTATACACACGAGTATAGTATTATGGGCTGTAGGGGTGCGATATCAATTGTACTCCTACAACCTACTACACAATAATGGGATAGCAGCGATGTCAGAACAGTAATACAAGAAAGCTCAGCATATTCTAGGAAGAAAAGGCATCTAGTTAATTGCCAAAAAAATGTCGTTAATTTTCGAGATAATCTTCTGCCAGCTGAATAAGGATTTATGGACATATTAACACATCTTAGGTTTGCGAACTAGATGGACATATTTAAAAGTAAGAGAATTAGATAATTAATATAGGGTGGTTGGACAGCAGCGGTCTAGACATGAATGTAATGTGACACAAATTGGCGCCTAAGATCCGGCATTTTTATTTTTAATGATATCTATGACACTCGCATTATCAAGAAGACTATCTGTTAAGCCTTTTAGTAATTACAGGGGAATATAGGATCGGACATATACTTACATACATATCGGTCAAACGTATAGGCTCCTTCAGGTTTTAGGAAAAATAGCTGTTGCCAAAAATAAGATGCAGTGCATCAATAAATAAAATGATATTCAAATATACCTATTATGTAGAAATAAAAATAAGCCTTTTATTGCACTTTTCATCTCTCTGAATCGATTTTACTTGCGTCTGCGGCCTAAGAGTATTTTATCTGTGTTTGATTCGATTTACGTTTTACTGGAGTTTTGACTTTTGAGTTTTGACATTTGTAAATTGTAATTTGTAAGCCAAATAGGTATTAGGTTTTATTTGTCATCCATGGTATTAGGTACCTTAGTGAGACGAGTTCTATTCTATTGTTTTAATTACGATTAATTACTAGAAGAATAATTTATAATATCGTTGAGGGTTCGATGTATTTAGAAAGATAATCTGGAGATTATTTTGATAATAATATGTTAACAATAAAATTGATCGACAATTAGAATATTTGTGATAACACTTCATTATTTCTTATTTTTTAATTAGAAATCCGGACAATTAAGTAAGTACAAATTTGTATGATTATTGTTAATTTCTTATTACTTTATCGTTGTTCATATACAGATAGGCTTATTTATTCTTATTTGATTTTTTCATGATAACATTATCTTAAACAAAATTATTATAGGAATTATTAAAAAATATTAAATGAAACATTCTAGATGGTTCTTAAGATTTCTATTGTTTAAATCAGTTATTTAATTAAAAAATAATATGGTTTTATATTAAGATTTATTATTTTGTCAGACATGAGTGAACGCCCTCAGCCTTTGAAGGCTGTAAATCGATTCTTTGAAGGAAAGGAGCCATGGCAGATTGTGACTATGACTGCATCCTCTGTGCTGGCCTTAGTCTGGGCTCATAGTCTCTATAATGCAAAAGAGAGTAAGTGTTTTTCTTAAATGTATATGCATTACTTGTTAATTACTCTTGACAATTAAAAACTAGTTTTTAGGAGGTCAAATTTTAAATTAACATACATACGGGTATATCATAACTGCTTATGATATTTGTTTTCTATATGAAAAAGTAAAACTTAATTTATCTATACCTGACAGCTTTAAACATTTTAAAATTATTAAGCTTTAAATTAATTATTAAATTAAAATTGATTTTACATTACATGTAGGAAAAAAATATTCAAGGTCATGTTTACTACTTTATTATTATGCAATACATATGAAATGTACATTTAGAAAATTATTATACCTATTTGTTCTTTTCTAAACAAATTCCAATTAGGAAATAGAATTTGTGTTTGATTGTGCTAGAGGGATGTTTTTTTTTTACTTCAATACTCATAAGTATATTAAATTAACTATATATGAAAAAATATTATCTGTGAGTCACAGAAAAGTCACAACTCACAGTGACCAAACTTACATTATAAAAAGATAATAATACATTTTATGATGAAGAAAAATAAAAATTGTGATCATGGATTTGTTCATTGCACCTATATGTATTATGTAAAATCCTTTTTTTATTTTATATTTTAAATCTTTTTCTTTTTAAAAAGACTTAGTAATAAAAAATGAGATAAATAAATGAATAATGAAATAGAATTAGCATAAATTAAAACAACACATATTAAATTCACCTTGTATCTATTTTGATCTTACATAAACTATGTATGTATGTACATAATTGTGCTAATAACAATGACTGGCAATTGCATTACATGAGCCATGTAATTTAATACTATACAATTTGACTCACAACTCAGTATCATGTGTGTTGAATGTCTAAAATAAACAAAATAAAAGATAAACTATAATTCTTTCTAAACAAGATAAGATGAAACAATTATTGTCAGATCTCTTACTATACAGCATGTTCAATTTAACCAATTTTATAATTTGTCTAATTGTTTAAGATTTATGTATCTTTTAAGTTAAAATTTCCCAAAAGTGTTGCCTAATCTAACAAGCAAGCATTATAATTATCTACAGGATTTGGGAAGTTTTGACATTTTGAAAGTTCCACAAGAGTTTGAGAGAACCCACAACCAACTTCAAAACTTCTTGGAATAAAATTAGATTAATTTGTGGCTACATGTACCAATAAATAAAGCAATTTTAGTAAAAATGAACATTTATTAAACATATTTTATGTTCCAAATTCAAACATTGCTATTTATAATTAAAACAATTTGCACATTTAATTATAATAGTAATCCATACTAATATTATAAATGTGAAAGTGAGTTTGTTTGTTTGTTTGTTTGTCTGTCCTTCTTTCACATCGAAACGGAGTGACGGACTGGCGTGAATTTTTGTGTGGAGATAGTTAGGGGGCTGGAGAGTAACATAGTTATATAGTACTTTTTACCGCGGAAGATCATCTCATTCTACAACCCAAAAAATATTTATGATCAGAATTACTTGAAACTTGATATTAATGCTTTTCAATATAACTAAATAAATACGCGTTTAAGCATTTTTCAAAATTCATCCCATAAGAGGGTAAAATAGAGGTTTAAAGTTTGTATGAAACCTACCTATCTAGAGCTATTATATATTCTGCTAGTACCTTATAATTATAAAGTAAATTTAAAAAGGCTTTAAACAACTGCAACTCCTTGTTAAATATAGATTTTTTGCTAGAATTTCAGGTACATTTTCTGCGGTTTTTGTATTGTCTGTTCCTTTTACCTTTGGAGCGACTCGTCGGGTTCGTTGTGTACAGTAGAGCTAAGGGTATTAGGTTCGGCGTCCATTATTTCCAATTCTGGCATTTGGATATGAGGGATATTTTCAAAAAGTCTGCAATACAGTTCTTGCGTCAACGCAATAAGTCCAGTTTTACTCAAATTCGTAGTAAAAAAAGTGTCTCGAGTCTCGACCCGAAAGTCTCGGGACCCGAGACATTTTCAATTACAAAAAAGTCCTGGGACTTCGATACACGAGATGTCCCGGGACCCAAACCCCTATTTTGTATTATAGCTACATATTAAAAAGTAAAAAATAAACTTCCATACATATTTATTTATTCTAAGGTTTTAGGTACTTCCTTAGCTAAAGATTTACTCTACATTTTTAAACATTACACGATTTCAGAACTTTTTTAATCATTACTACTTAGGTTTTTCCATACACATATTTCACAAGGTTACCAGCACTAGTAGGTATTATTAATAATATATTATCAATTTAATTTGCTATATCAAGTTGCCAGTTTTATTGTTTTCTTAGTTTTTGTAACGAAATATTTCTAGGGGGGTCACAGAAAGTGTGACACAGCGTGACAATAGGCTCCTCCCCTATCCTCCCGGGTCAAAAAAAGCAGATTTTAGCGTGACGTATTTTATGAACGGCCCCGTATAGAAAAATGCAATCTTACAAATCTCATACTATATTATTTATTGTCATTGTGTCTCATACTATTTTATTAATAAAAAATATTGGAATGAGTGAACATTACAAAAAAAAGCAGTCATGAGGACTGCCGACAGAATTGAAAACTTAAATCTATAAACAAACAGTTGTTATTTTTGAATATTCAAATTAATTGTTTGATCTGAAAGTTAATTTCTAAGAAATTAATTGTTAACCGAGCCATCTGTGGCTCCGCGTTGACAGGTTAAAATTTGTAAATTAAGACTGTTTAGTGTTTACATTTATCTGGTTTTGACACCTATCCGCACTCTTGAGTGTTAGTGTTAACACGCCACGTGACCATGTCGATGACGACTTAAATGAATTTACTCCCTATCCATACTTGCCTATAGAAGTTTTCACTTCAAAAATTAAAGTTATTATATAAAGAAAAACAAAGTTTAATCATTAAATAATATTAAATGTAAATAGAGTTGTGATGAAACTTGTTTTACCCACCATACGCAAGGTACCTACCAATTTTGAACAATGAAAGAATCGTTTTTGTTTTTCGTTATCGTTTATATTTCCTTATTATTCAACTCGAATATTCGATATTAAGTTTAATCTTCAAAACATATTATGATTTTTATCATATTATATGATTCAATTTTGTATTACTTATATCGCAGTTATATATGTTACCTATTAAATAGAAAAAAATTATGTTTTCGGTATTGAAAACAATTTTTGATCTGCTCATATTTACTTGACAAAGTAAGTTAAGTAATAGTGTAGATAAATAGTATTAGTATCCCAGTAAATTAATATCTTATAACGAAAGGGTTTTTTGAAATAAAACCTGCCCATAAAGTATCTTATACAAACTGATAATCCAGTTATTGTCTAATGTACTCGATTTTTTATTTAGGTGTCACAGTGCGTTTACGTAAGGAGTTCTTCAGATGGCTTCGTCACGTGCCTATAGTTAGGCGTAAAATAGAGGAGAAGATGACGGAAATCAAACGAAACTTCAAGAATGACGTAATAAAAAGACTCGAGGGTATGACCATAAACAGAGAGTTGCCTGAACAAGGTCTAACTGCAGAACAGGTTGCTGAGGAAGTTAAACTTCATCTTGCATTGGGTAACATAACCTTGCATTTTATTTCTTTAACCGACTTCAAAGAAGGTTTATTTGATTGTATTTATTTTGTTTGTGTGTTAAGGGTTCTAATTGTTTGTGATAACATATTTATTTATTCGGTTCTTTTAGTTTTTTTTAATATGGAGCTCGTCTAGTGACAAAACCGAAAATTGACCAAAAAAAATTTCAGCTTTATTTAATTAGTATAAAACTGATTTTATAATTATTATCTATACTAATATTATAAAGAGGTAAAGTTTGTGAGTTTCTGACGTTGTAGGGGGTAATCTCTGAATCTACTGAACCGGTTTAGATGAAATTTGGTAAGAAGATAGTTTGAGACCCTGGGAAGGAAAGAGGATACTTTTTATCCCGGAAATCATCCATTAAGGGGATGAAAATGGGGACGAAAGTTTGTATGGGGAATCAAGTTAGAGACGAACCAGAGCGATGCGAGGGTGAGTCGCTAGTGAATGATAAAAGTACGTTAAAAATACTTCAAATATTTTAGGCTCGTACGATTGGAAAGCGGGTAACGTATCAGGTGCGGTGTACCACGTGAGCGAGGATATAGGAAAAGTGGCGTGCGACGCGTACGCCCTGTCCGCGTACACCAACCCGCTGCACGCGGACGTGTTCCCCGGCATCAACAAGATGGAGGCGGAGATCGTGAGGATGACGGTCAACTTGTTTCACGGCGATGATGAGTGCTGTGGGACGGTGAGTTTTTTTTATTGAATTCAAAATAGAGGATATATTCTATTTTTTATGGTTATTATATATTTTGAAGAAGGAGACGCACAATTTTTATGTATTACTAGCAGAATCCGCGGCGTTCTATCTCCAAAAAAACTCTTTGGCTTTATGTTATAGAGCGACTCACCCTCGCTTCGCTCGGGTTCGTCGCTATGTACTTGTATATGTATAATATTGTTCATACAAAACTATTAAAATCGCGATAAAAATTTGGGGGTGGGGGTAGGAGGGTGAAAAATACTTTACGACCTATTCTCACACCTACCATTTGGTATATATTTATACAAAAATAATTTCAATAAAATCGGTTGAGCCGTTTCCGAGGAGTGCGACAAAACGTAGATATTTATATACTAGATTTTTTTGCGTTATGGGAGTGTAACTCAAAGTTCCTTTATAAACTAAGAAAAAAACCAACTCGATAAATTGGATAATTACTTTTAAGTTTTAAGTAATTTTGTAGTTCTTAGTTCTTCTCACGTTTTTTGTGAAAATATAAGATTTAAATTAGGAAAAATCACTGCAGTGAAATCGTGTGTTTCAGCTAGATGTAACTAATTTTGCAAGTTTTATAATTTATTACACTCCAATATAAATAATCTTTATAAAAATGTTTCAAACAGCTGCTGTCTTATTTTGTGTTTGTCATATTTCCATAATATCGAACTCTATCATCCCTGTTGAAAAACTCCAATAGAATCCCATCAAAAGCGACAAAAGTCACATAGAAACCAATAAACATTTATTGGTTTCTATGTGGCTTTTGTCGCTTTTGATGGGATCCTATTGGAGTTCTTAAATAGGTATGGTGGGTATTATATATCTACCTACTATACCGTCTTAACTATTTGACCTCTATATTTTGTACTTTATAGTGATCTTCAGTTCTGTTTACATAAATAAATATGCCTTATCCGGGAATTGAACACGCACCTTTTGCGCAATAGTACAAATCCGACATATAACTACTTCGTGAGACGATTAGTTAAAATCAAGTAAGAATTCAATGTTTTGTTTTTATTGTCAAATAAGATTCTAGTATGGGCTGAGTATATAGTGTTGACTGAGTATATCTCTATCTAAATTGTTTACAATTTGTGTGGTGTCATTGTATGGACTTTGGTTACTGTACGTACGAGCATATGAAGCATATTATTATTGTTCTGCGAAATATACTATATGTACATACGCAGGAAAATAAAGTAGTTATAGAAAAGCTGATTATCTAATATATAAATATCTCGTGTCACGGTGTTTGTCGTCGCACTCCGAAACGGCTCGACCGATTTTAATTATTTTTTTTGTTTATTTGGTAGGTAGGTATGAGAATAGGTCGCAAAGTATTTTTCATACTCCTACCCCCACCACCCATTTCTGAATCGCGATTTTAGTATTTTTGTATGAACAATATCCGAATAATTTAATATTATATATATACATAGGGACCGACTTTATGAAAAAAAAATTGACAACGTCAATACAAAATTTATAGTGTAATCAAAATTTATTTTAATAACATTAAAAAATTAAGTAATAGTATAAAAAATGTTTTAAAAGACAACAAAATCGAAAGTGCATAATAATTGCAAGACTTCCGCGACACCATTCAAACAAAGAGAGACAATAGCATTCCCAAGGAGGGTTGACGTCAGGCAGGCGGCCGGTCGTAAAACTTTTGCCAAATCCTTTTAGCAGTACAAAGGATGTACTGCACCGACCCCAAGTGATTGGGAAATGGGCAGGGAGAAGAAGAAGAAGACTTAGGGACCGACTTACGACGAACCTGAGCGAAACGAGGGCGAATCGCTATATAACACAAAGCAAAAGAGTTTTTTGTAGATTGAACGCGACCGAAGCCGCTGGTTCCGCTAGTATACTATACATATTTTGGTTCGAACTTTTTCTCGTAAATGTAAACTTTTAGTTGGCCATTTATAATATTCGCGAATAATATCGATGACTAATTCGTCACACAAACATTTTTAACTGACGTGTTGTGACCGATATTATCTAAAACGCAAAGTCATCATGACAAGATCGTATAATTCGTTTTAAGATGCTTTTCCTTAAATTCTATTTAAAGTCTCGCGACTTATCTGATGTTTTAGATCAGTTTAATTTTTAACGCAGTTTTTGTATTGTTCGCACTATGCGATTTGTAAATTCAATTAACAATGCCGCTTAACATTTGGGTATCTGTTGAACCATTAGTACCTAGATGTAGAGTGAGAAAGTATTAGAACTTTAAATTAGCTTATATAAATAAAATTCAACAAACCCTTCTTGTTACCGACACCAAAATCTTAAAACAAAAAAAATAAAACTTGAAAGTGATTATTTCACCTTTAGGGATGGACTTTTTTTAATAATTACGAAAATCGATTCACATAAGTGGCGAATATATAATATACACTCAGAATGTTTTTGAAATCGATAAAAATGAAAGTATAATATAACAATTATTCTTTTATTAATTATTTTTATTATTTATTTATCTCTTTGCATAATACGTTTTTGGGCAAAGAGATTTACCTATTTGGTTATTATTTGGGATGTGACGATGCACAGCATCTGTGAGAGGGCGCTGTATACTTCCCTTTTATTAGCCAATCACTTACGACTTCCTCTTGATATTTTCGACCAATCAACGCCTTGCTTAAAATCACGTGGTCCCAGGTGGCAGGGCGCCAAAGGCGAACGTTCTTACCTCATAGCGTCGTTATTTCCCGATCGAGTAACATCGTTTCTTAATAAGTGATAAAAAGTGAAAAATAGGAAAAAATATTTCAAATAAGAGTGAAAAAGTGTCTTTGAGTTTAGTTTTAAAGCATTATCATATCTAAATAGTGTTAAAATAAGTGAGTGATGAGTGATCATAATCAGTGCAGTGGCGTAAGCTTTGATCAGGATAATCCTGACGAAATGGAGGTAGGCATGCAAATGCCTTCATCTGGTCGAAAGCGCCTGCATTCGAGCGGAAGTTCGAGTTCCTCTCAATCTGACTCATCCGATTTAGAGGTAAAAAGGCGGAGAACGGGTGAGTCAGCTTCAGCAGACATTAATAATCTTGTCAATCAAGTATCTATTTTGACTAATATTTTAATGCAAAATATGTGTGCATCGAATGTTACTGCTAACAAAGTGTAACGGCAATAAGTGACGTTCAATCGAGTAGGCTACCCGTATCAGAGCCAACACCGGGGCCTAGCACGTCATGTTTAAATTTAATTTAACACGGCCTGCGGCCGTTCATGAAGAGCTTCGTTAATAACATTCCCCGTTTAAATTTGGGTGTTGTCAATACATCCTCTAAGGAACCTAAAGTACCTAAAGCTAATCCGGAACATTTGCACCGGCTTGAGGTTTTACAAAGATTCGGTGATTACAGCTTGGAAAGATGTTCGGTATAATGATGTGTTAAAAATCCATAACGCCGCGCCTGGCTTCGTTGAGCTACAAATTACTGATGATCTCAGGCAATTTATTAAAGGCAAAGATTACGTAGCAAGTTCTGAAAGATTAATAGCTGCTTTATGCAACGCATTGATCTCTCAGCGAGAGGTTCTCAATCATTGTTTGCAGCAATTTATTGACTGGACAAGCTTTACCTGACAGTACGCTGTCGCCTCAAATATTTACGATAAAATATCTGAGTGTTTTCTACCCTCATCTAAATTTCATAAAATTAGTGAGGAGATTATGCAATTAGTGTGCGGGAAACGGGCGGAATATATTGAAAACTCGTAGGGAGCGTATCCTTAGTGAGATTTCAAACAAGAATTTGCGTGAGGGTCTGCGTAAGATTCCTCCGAGTTCTAGCTTTTTATTTGACGAAACTCTACTGCGGTCCTATATTCAGAATACGGGTGGATCAGATAAATGGCTTCAACCTTGGTTTTCTTCTGAGAAGAGCCAGGCTGTCAATAGTCGTAAAGTGCCTAGCAAGCCAGTTCAGCACAATTTTCGAGACTTATCAAATCAGCCCTTTCGTCAAAAAGCTAGCGAGTCAAGTTATCGGAAAACCATAGCACAAGCTCATTCAAGCAGAACACTAAGAGCAAGAAATCCCAAGGTAAAGTCAATAGACGAACCAAGGGGCAACCTGATAAATGACTCGCAACCAATTCGCCAAACATTTTACGGGGGCTGTCTCAGAGCGTATCTGAGACAGTGGCAGCAGCTTCGGGCTCCGAAAAGCCCTTCTCGAATTGATTACGGGAATGCGTCTGCCATTTACCTCCAAGCCACCACTCATTCTTCCTTCAATAAGAATGATGAAGCGGTTCGAGACCGCTCATACGCCAGAAATGTCAATTCAGATCAAGCAGCTATTACCAACAAGGCGTTTCTAGAAGTTGTGAAGCCACAGGATGTGGGTCAAGTTTTCTTTCTACAATGTTCTTGACAAAAAAAGAGCAATGGATCCGAAAGGCCAATATTCAATTTAAAGCGACTGAATTGTTTTATAATTCCGAAAACCTTCAAAACTGATATCTCATTTTCAAGTTCCTCACTTCCTACAAAGGGAAGACTGGATGGTGAAATTGGACCTGTCCTCAGCTTATTTCCATGTGAACGTCACAAGGAGTCCATCGGCGGTTTCTGAGGCTTGTTTACGACAACGTGATTATGCAAATGACATGCCTCCCGTTCGGGCTGTCATGTGCGCCCAAGGTCTTCTCAGCTCTAACGAACTGGGTAGCACAGTACCTGCGATCCAAGGGCATGCGAGTCATAGTTTACTTGGACGATTTTCTAATCGCATGTCAGTCGAAAAGTCAACTTCAAAGCCATGTAAGATCGGCAATAAGTGTTTTGGAGAACTTAGGATGGACAATAAACTACGAGAAATCCGAAATCGAGCCAGTTCAAAAAATAGAATATTTAGGGTTAGTCTGTGACACCAAAGCCAACTACAAAAGCTTACCAACCAAAAAGATCCAGAAGTTATTACTGATATTGAAGAGGACAGTACGGAGACTGAAAATGTCATTAAAGGAGGCTCAAATAATATTAGGAACTCTAAACTTTGCCTGTTTCGTTGTACCAAGAGGTCGTCTTCATTGCCGTCAACTTCAAATACATTTACGAAATCTGATGCACCTTCCATCCAACCGCAAAACCAGTAGAAGTAACATCTGTTGTCATGAGAGATCTCAGGTGGTGGATTACTACTCTGCAGAGTCCAATAATTCGGAGCAGCCTGCATTGTCAGTTAATTCAACATTTTTTGACAACAGATGCAGCGGATTACGGGTGGGGGGCACAATTGGACGACCAGTTCATATCAGGAGGATGGACGCGAGCCCAACGTCACTGGCATTCCAATCGGAAAGAGATGTTTGCCTTAATAGCAGCCGTAAAACATTTCGAAATCGCTTCATGGTCGTCATTTGAATTTCCAATCGGACAATCGAACAGTGATATCTTATGTTCGAGAGAAGGAGGAACACGATCAACAGCGTTGCTCCATATGACTTATCAACTCTTGGATTTGATAGACAAAGAAGAAATTTTATTACAGCAGAGTACATTCCCGGGAAATCAACAATATTGCAGACAGCTTATCCCGCGGGAAAAGGATTTCGGAATGGCATCTTTTACGACCCGCTCTCGTCAATATATTCCGAAAGTTTGGGATTCCCCAAATAGATCTCTTTGCAAGCAAGGAAACGAGAGTTGTGGAGCAATATGTTACCAAAGATTGTCTGGACTCTTCAGCACAATTTTGCAACGCATTCAGTCGTCAGTGGCAATACCAGCTGGCATGGTGTTCCCACCACCAAGCTTAATACCTCGAGTTCTGCATCACTTAAACGCTGCTCGAGGAACATTTCTTTTAGTAGCCCCAATGTGGAAGAAGGCTTATTGGCTACCAGATCTCCGTCGACGAGCGCTGGCCAGACCAATGAAAATACCAAGCTGGACCAAGTGCCTAATAGATCAGATAACCTGCCTCCCACCACCTCACGTTCAGAACATGGATCTTTTACGTCTGGAAGATAGCAGCTGGGGCGAGGTAACTAAAGCTTGGTCAGAAGCCGAAAAATCGCTTCTTAGAGCTGGCTGGAGAGAATCAACATTAAAAACCTATGGACCAGCATGGTCCCGATGGATGAAATGGTGTAAAATAATAGTTTTGATTGCAACTTTCCTTGTGATGTTAGTCTATCGAGATTCTTAGCATATCTTCACCTTGAAGAGAGATTAGCTTATCCGACTATATTGTTGCATAAGTCAGTAGTTTTATCTTTTGGGCAAGTCAAACACAATGAAAAATTTGAATTCTAACTTTCTCGTTCGACATATTCTTAAAGCTATCTCTCTTCAAAGTCCAAAGTTACAGAGATCACCCATTTGGGACCCAAGTGACCTACTTGCCTGGCTGGAGCTGAATCCCCCGAACAATATCAGTTTGTTTGAAGCTTCCGCCGCTGTGCATGTCTTTTGTTATTAGCATCCGGTAGACGCGTTCACGATCTTACTTTACTCAGAATATCTAATGACTGTTACTTTGACAATGACAGTCATATTATCCTTTATCCTGTATTTGGGTCAAAAACAGACACAGCTACATACAGGCAATCAGGTTGGAAGCTCTCTTGTCATAGCAATGAGAATATATGCCCAGTTAGATGGTTAAGAAAAGTAGTTGAGTTAGGCAAGACGAGGCGTACAGCCGAATGTAATGAGTCCTTGTTTGTGTCCGATTAGAGGTGTCATGCAAAGTGCGTCGCGTACTGTTATTGGTAACTGGATTAAAACTGTTTTTGAAAGACGCAGGCATTACGCTTCTCCAGGAAGTTTTGCGTTCGGCTGTAGCTTCTTTAAACTGGGTTAACAATTTTCCAATAGAAGAAATTATTACCCGTGGTAATTGGCAAAATAAAAATACATTTGCTAAATATTATTGTAAGCAAATCATAAGCAGAGCTAAAAGTCGATGTGTAGAGAGTTTTTCGAATAATTTTGAGCCAGTTTGATTTATTTCGCTAATTGTGGCTTAAAAAGTCGAGTATAATAGAATCATTTATATTATTGCTGATTTATTGTGATTCTGATTTATAATAAAAAACGGTGTTACTCATGTGTCTTTTTGTTCTTTGCAGCCTTTGTGCATCTAATTTAGTTTTCTTCCTCACATAGCGTCATTGTGGTCACCAGGAGTTATAAACACGTCCCTCTCACAGATGCTGTGCATCGTCACATCCCAAATAATAGTACAAGTTTTTACAAAAACAATAAAACTTGTATTATTAAGGAGAGACGATGCACAGCATCCATTCAAGTTCTCCTGGTGAGAGACTTCTATGAGGTAAGAACGTTCGCCTTTGGCGCCCTGCCACCTGGGACCACGTGATTTTAAGCAAGGCGTTGATTGGTCGAAAATATCAAGAGGAAGTCGTAAGTGATTGGCTAATAAAAGGGAAGTATACAGCGCCCTCTCACAGATGCTGTGCATCGTCTCTCCTTAATAATACAAGTTTTATTGTTTTGTAAAACTTGTACTATTAATGACTTTTTTATCTAAGTACATATATTATTATATAATAAAGTATTATCTAATATCTACTATATGTAGTAGGTATGATTATTTAATACATGTGTTATCTATTATTTGTGTCTTATTCATTACTCATTATGACCATGAATAAGGACTAACGTAATTTTTGTAATTATATTTTAAAATTGTTAATTATATACATCTACATGTACCTATAGAATATAGATACAACTATACATATTATAAAAGTGAAGAAAAACTATTATCGGGGGTCTTTATTAACGCAATAGAACCCAAAACAATGATTTTTAGATTTTTTGTCTGAGCGCGCTTATCTCAGAAACGGCTTAGCCGATTTGGGCTCCGTTTTACTAAAGTATCGTGGTAAGCTTCACTTAACATTTAGTATTTGTTTTATTTCAATCGATTCATAAATAAAAAGTTATGTCATTTTAAAGAATCACCTAGTGACAAACCCGAGCGAAACGAGGGTGAATCGCTAGTGTTTAAATATGCTTAGTATTCTTAAACGTTTATTAATTAAAACATGAGTCTCATTAACCTATATATTTTTTTTGGCGTGTCTTATGTTTCTTAAAAATATTTAGTGCTACTATTGCTTATATAATAGGTATAGTCATTGTCGGTTTGACATACTTATATATACTTTGCTTGATTTCATAACATTAAAAAAAAACAGTCATGAGGTCTGCCGGCAGAAGTGAAAACTATAAACAAACGGTTGTTATTTTTGGATATTCAAATTAATTGTTTGATCTTAAATTAATATTTGTAAATAAAAACTGTTAACATTTATTTGGTTTTGACATTTATCGGCACTCGGTGTTAGCGTTTACACGTCACGTGACAATGTCGATGACGATTTAAATGAATTTATTCCCCATCCAAACCTGCCAATAAATTTTTTCACTTCAAAAAACGTAAGTCTGTAAGTGTAAGTCCAATAGACATGCGAAACATATTTCAATGAAAACCGTTATACTTCTACCAAAAATTATCTAATAAAAAAATATCTAAATACTTTGAACAAACAATAAATCAATTGCGCAAGACTAATTTTCATGTGGTTTAATCTCATCAGGTGACAACAGGAGGTACGGAATCCATAATAATGGCGTGTAAAGCATACAGGGATTTGGCTTATGCCAATGGTATTAGCAACCCCCAAATGATATTACCAACGACAGCTCACACTGCCTTTGATAAGGCAGCACAATACTTAGGTATTTCTGTTGTCACTGTGCCTGTGTCTAGTGAGACGTTCACTGTTGATGTCGATGCGGTTAAAAGGGCTATTGGACGAAGAACTTGCTTGGTAAGTTATTATACTATCACAGTCATCGATCAAAAAAGTACTCGATACTAGGGTTTTCGAGTACTCGATTTTTTTTAATACCCGGGTATCGGGTATTATTTTTTTATATAACTAATATTATTTTTTTATAGAACTAATTAATTATCTAGTATAATTAATTAGCTGCATTAATCGATATTAAGTATTACAACAAATCGATTTTCAGATAGTCGGTTCAGCACCAAACTATCCATACGGCACAATGGACGACATAGTCGCGTTATCCGATATAGCGGTAGAATACGGGGTGCCGCTGCACGTGGACGCGTGTTTGGGCGGGTTCATTGCGGCCTTCATGCCCAAAGCGGGACATGATATACCTCCTTTCGACTTTGCATTGCCTGGTGTCTCTAGTATATCTGCTGATACACATAAGGTGAGTGAGAATTTGATTTTTTTTTCGACATTAATATTATAGAGGTATAGTTTGTAAGTTTGTGAGTTTGTTTGTAGGAAGTAAATTCTGGAATTATTGAATCGGTTTAGATGAGATATGGTATGTAGATAGTTTGAGTCCCTAGGAAGTATAGTTTTATCCCGGAAATCATTCCTTAAGGGGGGTGAAAATGGGGATGAAAGTTTGTATGGGGAAGCAATCTTGGGACGAATCCGAGCGAAGCGAAGGTGTTGCTAGTTTGATATAAGTTTTTATATAATGTTAAGTAAATAAACCAATTCAATAGTCAATAAGCTATGAAATGATTTGTCCGACGACACAATATTCACCTTAAAAGGTATTCACCTTGTATTAACTTTAAAAGGTAATGCATTTAACAATAAGAACTTGTAGCGTAGTATAATTATTACTGTAATATTTTAATTACCACTGGTGAATCTTAATAAATAAAATCAATATATTTGTTATTAACCGACTTCCAAGAAGGAGGAGGTTCTCAATTAATCGGATTACCGATTACTCGAAGACGCCTGAATCGATTTGGATTTTATTTTGTTTCAAAGGGTATACTTCTCACCTGTCTACATACATACAACCTGGTCCCATATAAATTTTATCGAAATCGGTCGAGCTGTTTTTAAATTTTTTTTTTTAAATTTTTTTTAATGGATTTATTGTATCTAAAATTGAGCACAATAATTACGTGTGTGTTTTTTGTGTATTTTTGCAGTGATTTTTGTATATAATTGAGCTCAATGTTACGTGTGTGTGTGTTTGTTTGCTTGCAGTACGGGTACGCGCCGAAGGGCACGTCGGTGGTGGTGTACCGGCGGCCGGCGCTGCGCCACGCGCAGTACACCGTCACCACGGACTGGCCCGGCGGCGTGTACGGCTCGCCCACCGTCAACGGTAGCTTATAATAATTATACTTTCTTTGATTATACGCGAATATTTGACATTTTAAATAGAACTATCTTTTCGGATTATTTCGCGGATTTATTTTGATTTTTGAACCAAAACCAAAACTATTTAGGCTCATCTAATTAATGGATGCCCCCTAAAGATTTTTATTACGTTTGTATATAACATTTGCAGGCAGTAGAGCCGGCGGTCTCATAGCCGCGTGCTGGGCCACCATGATGTTCGTGGGCCTCGACAGGTACATCAAGATGACTGACGAGATCATCACAACGGCACGGCATATTGAAGCAGAGTAAGTATACCTAAATAATATGAATTTGTAGCCTTTTTTACCGTCTCATTGCTAGGCACGGGCTTACCAATACGAGGGGGATCAGGCCATAGTCCACCACGCTGGCCAAGTGTGGGCGGACTGAGCGTTATTTTTTGAAAACTTGCTAGGTTTTCTTAGACATGCAGTTTTCCTTCACCGTAAGACTAGTGGTAAACGTGTTGGAAATGATTCGCACGTGAAAATAGGTCATAGGTTGCGAGATCCGGGATTTGACCCGCTTTAACTAAAACTCCAAACGATCGCATTACCACTAGGCTACCACTGCCCTAATTTACCTTTCATTGCTATGTATTATTTATTTAATTTGTTTGTTGCTTTTAATATTTAAAAAAAAATTGAAGACATGTTTTGTTGTAAATTTAATTCGTATGTAATCACATCTAGAAATGTTATTTATATCGAAGAACATTAATTTTCTCTATTATTTTCCATTATTTTATCATGACTTATACAGTGGGCGTTATATGGGAAGTGTTGGTTCAAATGAAAGTCGATGCAATCACAGTTGTATTTCAAATTAACAATAATCACTTTGTACATAGTTAAACAGCACTTCACTACACAGCCATATACCACATCATTATTATGGTAATAATAGTATAGACAATACGGAACGCAAGACAGTTTCTACTAGTGTTCACTGCGCGACCGACCAAGCGTAACTCCGCCGAGACCGGTTGAGTGTCACGACGTAGACTCTGTCGAGCCCAAAAAGGTGGCGCTCGCGTTCCGATTAGTTGTGATTATGACTCGTCTCCGACTTTTATATTAATAATTGTGTTATCTCATGTAAGTGAACTATAAAATATTCATGAGAAATAGACATTTCTAACCGGAACATTAGTAGGTATTGTCAGTTACTTTGGAGCTGTTTGGTAGTTTTGAAATCATTTTATAATTTTGTGGATAGGCACTGTCTGTAACAACTATATTATGAACTTTGAGACGTCAAGAATCTTAGTCTCTTCGGGAACCAAAAATTGAAATAAATCCGCAAAAAAAAACCGAAGCACAGTTTTATTTAAAACTAGCGATTCAACCTCGCTTCGCTCGGGTTCGTCCCTAGCTTTATTCCCAATACAAACTTTCATCCCCATTTTCACCCTCTTTAAGGATGATTCCCTGGAAAAAAAGTATCATATGTCCTTCCCAGGGTCTCAAACTATCTTCTTACCAAATTTCATCTAAACCGGTTCAGTAGATCCAGAGATTACCCCCTATAACGTCGCAAACTCACGAACTTTATTCTCTACAATATTACTCTCTACAATATTACTCTCTATAATATTAGTATAAGTAAATGTCAAATATTCGCCTAAATCTAAGAAAGTATTACAGAACATTAGTCTTACACGGCGATTTATTAGTAATATTATTTAATATTTTCAGATTGCGTAAAATAGAAGGTATATACATATTCGGCAAGCCGGCGACCTCGGTGGTCGCGTTCGGCTCCCACCAGTTCGACATCTTCAAGCTGGCGGACAAGATGCACCAGAAAGGGTGGAGTTTGAACGCTCTGCAGTTCCCGCCCGGGTGAGTTTGCCTAGATTGAAATCCTTTGAAAGCATTCATATGAAAAATGGATATGAAATTATATACGGTACTTATAAGAAAAACATAATTTTGTTAAATTTTTGTCATTCTGTCTACCTGTTTGTTTATTCCGGATAATTTCTGAAACGGCTGGACTGATTTTAATGGGACTTTCACTGGAAGATAACTGATGTTATAGGGAGTAACATAGGCTACTACTATTGTAGAAAAAGAATTAGGGTTCCGTTCGAAAACATTAAAACGTGCCTAGTATACAAAATAATAGAATTGTCATCCCCAGCGTGCACATGGCGGTGACGCACGCGCACACGCAGGCGGGCGTGGCGGCGCGCCTGCTGGCCGACGCGCGCGCCGCCGCCGCCGCCTGCCGCCGCGAGGGCCACGAGCCCGTGCAGGGGAAGGTGGGTTACGCGCATTGTACTAACAAGCACTGATTGAATTATACTATATATAATATATTTTTATAATTTAAAAGTAAATTTAAAAAAAATATATAATCACTAACAAAACAATGAAATTTCATACAAAAGGAAATATAATTTCTAATAAAATCAATCAATGAAAATTTCGAAATACGGTATTCTAAATTGATGTTCCCGAGTCTACGAGCGCATGTCTTTAACCAGAGAAGAGAGCGAGGCGCTGGTTCTCACCGTCTTATATAGAGCTTGTCACTCGTAACTCCCTCTACTTTTGAGATACAGCTAACATTATATAAGACCTCCTGACCGATTTCGGCCACGGCGGCAAGTCTCATTGAGACTAGCTAACTGCGCAGGAAATATTATAGTGCACAAGTGTACCACACTTATACACCGGTGGGACGACACGAGACACGACCGGGGAGAGTGTCGCCGCAGGACTGACAGCTATACGTGCTCTGCCTCGGCACGGGGGTGAAACACCGCCAACTTCCCAACTCCGGGCTGTTACCGAGGCTTACTATACAGAAAGACTCAATAACTAAACTTGATCCGTCCCGGGACTCGAACGCAGGACCTCTCGATATGCAGCCGTACATGCTAGCCAGTACACCTCCGAGGCAGTCAAGATTGAATACTACAGTATAGAAACAAGAATATGTTAATCATGATGATGATAATCATTAAGCTCTTAATTTAAATATATGACGACACGTATATGGCTTACTTTGTAGTGACCCTATTTGCAGTGCCAGCGGTCGCGGGTTCGAGTACCGCTGGGGGGCATTCATTTGTGTGAAGAACACAAATGTTTGCACTCCAGTCATGGGTGCTTATATATATATATATATATATATTATGTATGTATTTAAAGTGATATATGTGTAGTGTATCAACTATCTGGTATCCATAACACAAGCCTCGTAGCTTACCTTGGAACTAGATGGTGCTGTGTGTTAATATCCCAACATATTTATTTATTCGACAGATGGCGATCTATGGCGTTGCCCAAAGCATTCCAGACAGAAGCTTAGTGTCTGACATCACTAAATATTTCATTGATTCCATGTATTACCTACCAAAGCCTGAAGATAAAGATGAAAATTAAATTATATTTGTACGAAATTCACCCGAAATATGAAATTCACCCGAAATATGAATATTATGTGGGTTGTGTCATAATAGTCAATGTATTGTAAATTTTGTCGATTTGAATTTTTATATGTAGTTTAATTTAGTATGTGTTAGGGATTCGAAAGGAAGAAATCCTTAAGAGGCCAATTATATTATGTATGACCGTGATTTTGCAATTTAATGCCCACCTTTGACGTTCTCATTCAGATAAACTGAAACTCTTCGACAATTTTGACTATTGTATGGTGGAGAATAGTTATTAATATAGTTCATAGCGGCCTCGCTTTTCGCAAATTTTCATTATTAATTGAAATAAGCCAAAAAAAATATACGTCAGTTCAAAAGAAACATAATTAACCAGATACTTTTTTTTAAATAATTTATAATAAAGATGCGTTGGCTGCTTGAACTCAATGCCATAGAACGCAGTACATTTTGTGATAGGCCTCTAGAGGAACTGCGCCATAGAAGTGCAATATATGTCGATATAATAATTTAGGTTCTTTATGCAGAACTAGTCGTTATCTCAGTGCTGATTTGTCCAAACGACCAATTTACCGAAAGACTTCAATATAGAATAAATGACTTTTAAATGTCAATTCTATTCGTATTAAATACACATTTTACTTTAAAAAGCTGTCATGATGTATATTATCTACGTATAACCTGGAGGTCTGGAGAGTGGCATAGGCTACTTTTTAACGCGGGAGATTATCTCATTCCCACGGGAAAACATGTTATAATACAACCCAAAAAAATGTTTATAATCAGAATTACTTTAAACTTGGTATTAATGCTCTTCAATACATTATTAAATAAATACGTTTTTAGCATTTTTTGAAATTCGTTCCATAAGAGGGTAAAATAGGGGATGAAAGTTTATATGAAACCTACCTTCTTAGAGTTTTTTTTTGTAATTTTAGCGCGAGCGGAGCCGCGGGTTCTGCCAGTATGTATATAAATCTTACATATTTATATATTAGATTATTGACTTTTTAATGTCAATTTATTGTTTTTTACTTTAAAAAAAGCCGAAATGATGTATTTTATCTATGCATGTATATAATGTTATAAATAAAGCTTTCAAAACAATTGTAGAGTATTACAAGTAATGGTACTCGTACTTTGAACAAATAAGCACTAAGGCGACGAATAGTATTAGTTAGACTCGCACAACTATTAAAAAAGATGGGTTTTCTAACTAAAACTTTAAAAACTAACGACTATTTTAAACCAATTTCACTTGATATTTAATATTCTTCTAAAATTAGAATTTACTAGTTAAAATCTATTTTTCTCTTTATCTTTTATTAATTTTACACTAATACCAAAACATACAAGGCCATCTATTGACTTTTATTTGATCTAATTTTCTTTTTTCTTCTAATATATAACGTAATATATAACCAAGATGAATGATTAAAACTTATTTTGAAGTAGCCAAGCTATTTCTATTATTATTGATGTGAAACATCTAATGAGGCGGGTTAAACCGGTTGTTGGCGCTCGTAACTCTTGATACTCTTCCCAATGGGCTCGTCGATTCCATACTCCTTATCTCTCACCGCACGGAACTCGTATTTAAATGTTTAATTTTGGTATTAAATTAACATGTATTTTTGAAGTAAAACTTCTTTACGCACGCTTGACTTAAGGGGGTAGTATATGATTGTAATATGTCTAATATGCGTTATTTTTAATATCTCACCTATCCTAATTATTTAAAATATAAATTGAATTTCATAAAGAGTACCGATAACCTACAGAAGTTTTACTTCTTGCGCGTGTACACATTCATACACGCACTTTTTGATTTTTTTAATAAAGATTTTTTTCTTTTAAAAAATCTGAATATTTTGTTTGTCATGTCATATTTAATGCCTTTGAAATCTATCCTGTTATGCATATTTTCTTTACAAAATATTTTCGATGTTTCACATCTGCCAGGCGCGATGTGTTTAATTGTATTTAATTTTTTTATCACTACTTTTTATAGCTATAGAAATACATTTTCGACATTTTTTTTATTATAAGATAATATTTGATATTTTTTTATATGCATTTAATTTATACTTGAAATATTATTTTGTAAATTTTTAAATATTTGTATATTTATTAACCACGATGTAGTTTTAAGGCATTCGCTTAGCGCTTTTAATAAATGTTTATTGAAAATAAAGACATGTTATGTGTAATTGTTTCTTTTATCTCTTTTTTTAATAATAGTTATTTTAAATATGTTATAATTTATTTGAAAGATTATTAATAAGCCGAAAAGTATTTAAAGATATATAATACTTCAGACTTCGCACTCTTAATATGTTATAAATGACTTACTGTAGACAATATTTCTACCAACACTGCAGTTGGTGTAAGTCTGTTATTCGAGTTATATTGGCGAGATGAGAGCCACCTCCCACCGCCCAACGAAGCGGGTCACCTCCCTGTGCGTTTCTTGGCTTCGCGCCCGGCTGTATTGCCGGGCACTACTAAGCCCCCCACCACGACAAGGTACTTACATATTATGTCCGTAAACGCAATAACATATTATCTTAGATTATTCATATAAATATTCTAAGTATATTATATCTTATCTTTTAAGTAACACATAATATGTTTAAACTTTTCCGTAGGCTTTTTTAAGACCTATAGTTTTATAGTACATTGTTTTGTCTCTCGCTTTAGCCGGCGTTAGCCATGTAAATTTCTAAAGATGAAAGAAGCAGAATTGTGATTTCCCGTGGAAATAAAAAAAATCTTGAGTAAAAGGTATTACTACCTTCACAAAATTTAAAATCGGTTCAGTACTTTTTGCGTGAAATGCACATAGATTTACAGACAGATTTTACTTTGGTACTATTTTTATTATATGTATGACGTGCTTTATACACGGTACACATATCTACCGTGTAATAGGTATACCGTTCTCTTTTGACTTTTCTTTTAACCTTCCTTTCCTTTACAATCTTCTGTTTTGTGACAGCTATCAAAATCTATCAAACGCAGAATGTATATCAAAATTAGATGTAAATAAAATGCGCAATATTTTTTTACTTGTAATTATTTATTATACAAACGTAATTTGCGATGGATCTGTTAACTACTGCGGGGCAAGAATGTGCGCGCACACAAATTCCCATACATTTTGTCGATATCCCGTGCGTATGAGCTATTACCTATATTATATAATATTTTCGGAATATAATTACAATTGGTTTATTTTTAGTAGCACAGTAGATGTAGATATATACTTGGATAATAATAATAATTTCTTATATGAGTATATACGCACTTTTGTATGTTAGTATAGAAAATCCATAACAACTAAATATATTTTTAGTTTGTGCTATTGTTTTTCTGAAAGCGCTAATCTGTGTAAGTTAGGTCGGTATACTACACAACACAGATGACACAATGCTCTACCTTCTAGTATTACAGGAAAAAGTATGTATTATCATTTTTGCCTGACTTACATACTTGTAAAGAATATAAAAACATAGTAAATTAATAAAAGTTGAAATATTTTGTTCTCATTTATATAAAACAAATTAAAAATTTAACCAGCCGGGCCCAAGTCCCTCGTGCAGAGGCTATATCAACGCTTCACTCTTACCGGTAGAAAAATCTCGAATCCTAGAACGATTGAATCGTAGGCGAAGTGACATCGCGCGTGGAGTGCGACGTTTGCCCACTGCTGGGGATATGTTGAAATTGGTAACTATGATAATATTAATGTGCTGACTCCTGACCATTTTCGATCTTTCTTATTGAGACCAGCTAATGAAGGCTTCCGCGCTTGAATTCACCGCGAGAGGCTTTAGTGTAGACTGAGGTCTCTAAAAACGTCGAATGACACTAAATGTTTACTGTTTGCTAGCTTTTCATCGTGAATTTTCCCCAATTATTCACAATTATTCTTAAGATTAGGCTCGATAAATGTTATTAAAAAAATAGCTTAGTGAAGTCAATATTTTATCTATTTCGTTATTAGGTATATGTTAATTATTTTAAATTCTGATGAACTGGTACCGTGCTAACAATTGTTACTATTGAAAATGGCCGTGCCGTTAACAAATACTTTTTAACGACAGTGATATCACTTTACTCGCCAGTGGCGCCAACCGGTGCCAACAGAAACGATAGCTCTCGTCGCGCAGAACATAGAGCATGTAACGCTTTTTAGCGAAAAACTCAGAAGAGAGATTATAGTGCACGTAGGCGTAACTCCGTCCGTAAAAATATTCCCCTTATTTAGGGCGGCCATTATTTTTAGGTTAACATCACGTAATTAGAAATTTTATTTATGTTATTAGGCTTGTAAATTATTATAATATAAATAATTATAAAAATAATAAAATCTATGTAGAGATTAAATAAAGACATTGTACATGTTATATAAAACGAAGGAAGTTGTAATAATGTCTTGTATAGCGATTATTTTTTTTTTATCATGGTCAATGATCATTGTGTAGAAACTGCATAATTGTTTTTTTTTTATTACTGAACTTGATAGTAGACTTAGATATAAAAAAAATTATGTATAAGTTTTAAATCGATTTTAAAATACGTATTATTAGAACATTTTCTTACTTAGCGTTGGGTGGAAGAATTAGCGAGAGAGGCGCAGCGCTGGGCCGACCAGTGCATAGAGCCGGCAGTTCCTGAAGCACGCGATACTTGTCGTGATTTATGTATGTCTCATTCATATATAATCGATATTTTACGCAAACTAAATTATGTTAACATAAAATATTTTATTTGAAAAGTAATCGCATTTTAATTAATTTTATAAAAAAAAAACATATGTATATCATACTCGATATAGTAAACAAAATTTAATTAGTCACGTAATTTTACACTTACCGTGTACAAGCAATTTAGAAAAAATAACTTATGGGTATGATAATTACGTAAAATTTTCCTATTTCAGAAAAGGAAAATGTTAGTAAACGCACAGTTAAGGAAAAGTAAAATCGTATGTCATATTATTAAATTTAATTCAAATCGTGCAGCCGTTTAAGCATGAAAGAGTTACAATCAAACATATTTATATATTATATGATTTTTATGTATTTCTTACCTACATGTCTCCTTCGTATCTTCTCCTTTTTTTTTGTGACATTGGCGAAGTAATCTGTACTCAATTGGAACGCTTTGATGCCATTAGCAAGAGAATTGAATTGAATTATATTTTTCTCGTCTATTTAGATTCAATATCGGTGGGGCAGTGTGTAGCGTCAGTAGTCGGTGAAGCGCCAGGTTTGCGTCCCGAGACCATGATCGATATGTGGTATATGCAGAGTAAAGATTATAAAGGAAACGCTACATCTTATATTCCGTAAGATAAACCTAGCAAAAACATAACATGTAAAAAAATACAAGTCTCGCAACACAGTTCTTTTACCGCAAAAAGTTGTGAGATCTAATGTAAAATGAAGTTGGTTAAATATTCAACACTTATCTATGGAGGCTATCTATCGAACAACTTTGTCATAAATTTTGACCTCATTAGTTAGCTAACCCCGTAGTGTCCGGATCAATATTTTTTTTTAAATTAATATAATGACTTGATGCGATTGATAAAGTTAATATATTATAATAGTGGATAAATTTAGCGACCGATACATACAGATTATAGTTTTTGATTTTAGGCCTAAAAGTTATTTCAACTATTATGGAGACTTCGCTCAGATCACTTGGTCTCGAACTTATATGGTGGGCTGTGGAAGAAGCAGTTTTATGGTAGGTTTTACTTTTAGAAAAATCTTTTATCATTTACAGGACATATGCTGATATACAATATGTAATTTGTTGTAAGATCTTGGTAAAAACAGAGAAAATATTCCCGTTAATTTTTCTTTTTAACGCATTTCTAGGTGATTTCTGTTTAGGGATCGCCTGCATGTCTATATAAAGCACATAACTTATTTATTTAGCGTATCTATTTAGTACACCATCTCAACATGACTCACGGCGCGGCGTAGGGACTATGGGAAATAAGAAAACGAATTGGGTCTATGGAATGGAGTTTGGATGAGCTGCAAGACTGGGTTATTGGATGAGATTAGCGGACGTCTGCCTCCTCAACAATCTCAACATTGAATCTAAGGCAGACGGTGACTCGCCTCCCACTAGATGGGTCCCACAAAGCGGCATATTGCCTTAATATTATTACTAGCGACTCACCCTAGCTTCGGTCGGGTTCGACCCTAATTCTTTTTCTAAAATAAAAGTAGCCTATGTTACTCCCTATAACATCAACTATCTTCCCGTGAAAGTTCCGTCAAAATCAGTGCAGCTGTTTCAGAGACTATCCGGAACAAACAGACAGACAGACAAACAGGCAAAAATTTTAAAAATTGTGTTTTTCTTATAAGTACTTTATATAATTTCATATGCATTTAGTAAATCGCTGTTGTTTTGACATTACAAACAGACACTTCAATTTAATTTACCTGTATTTAGATAAATATTATTATTATTATCTCAGCGGTGTTATTACATAGATATCGTGGCGGGATCGTCTCCGTAGCGTGCAGCGTCTAGTATGCAACTTTGCGCCGCGCGGCCCCGTACCGTTCCGTCCGATCTGGTCCCCTGCATTACCTGCGTCCGTGTGTCCGCCACGCTCCCGTCCCGACGACGACATGCCTGTATTATGTACTTATCGTAAGTTTTGTGATGATGTTCATTTGATGTTAGCCACAAGTTCATTTAAAATCACTCATTCATTATCTTTATTATTAAAAAATCTTATAATATTAAATGAGCAATTCTTATACATATACAAATTGATTACGTGTATCTCGGAAACGGCTGTAGCGAATTGGATCAAATTTTATATTTAGATAAGATTTTGCCTTTTAAGTTTATCTAAATAGGTGTCTTTTTTTAAATAAAAAAGGCAATTTTTACTTTTCCGAAAAAACATGATGTTACAAAACGCTGAGCGAAGCTCGCTCGGTAGGTAGTAGGTACAGTACCTGGGTAGTAGATTCTTTATAACATATCTACGTCTTTCTATAATATTTATTACCAACAATTTTATCACGATAATTTGAAACAAAGTTATAGAATTTTTAGGTTATTATAATAATGTAGAGAAACTAGATAATATTAGTTGATATTACCTATGTGTGTAGAAATTATCATTCATTTGTTTCCTTCTTTCTCTGTTACTTTCATTCAACGCTTTAAATTGGTAAGATTTTATCAATTCCATTTTTTTTATGAAGTAATTGTTACTTACGTTAAATTACTCAATAGATACAGTAAATATTAAATCACCATGTTCTCTTGGTCTTTTAATAAGTATAATGATGTATTTATATATTTATAATATAGCTGTATAAAACAAAGTCTCTTCCTGCGTCTGTAAATTTTCATTATAATTTAGAGAAGGTTTTCTGAAAGTTTAATACGTATAATTATCCATTCTTAATATTATAAATGCGAAAGCGTGTTTGTTTGCTTTTCCTTCTTTCACGTCGAAACAGAGTGACGAATTGGTGTGATTTGTGTGGAGATAGTTGGAGAGCTGGAGAGTGTCATAGGCTAGCTTTACCGCGTGAGATTAGCTCATACCCCGGGGAATACACGCTAAAATACAACCTAAAATAATTATTATGATCAGAATTACTTAAAACTTGATATCAATACTATTCAATACAATTAAATAAATACGTGTTTTAGCATTTTTCGAAATTCATCCTATAAGGGGCTAAAATAGGGGATGAAAGTTTGTATGAAACTTACATTTTTAGAGTTTCTTTTATAGTTTTAGCGCGAGCGATGCCGCGGTTTCTGCTAGTTTTTATATAAATATAGGTATATAATCAAGTCGGGCCTGAGCGAAGCGAGGGCGGGTGACTATTAAATATTATAATTACTTATTATAAAATATTTCAATCTTCATGCCGTAGGGTAATAAATGTAGGTACTTTAAAAATATGGTCTAAGTGGTAAGCACGTAAATATTATAAGCAATTCATGACTTACTTCGAAAAGCATCTTCCAAAGTCTAATAAAATTTCAGAGCGTGATATGGATGAAACATTCGATGAGGACAATATAATGTCACTCGAGGAACATTTACTATTAAATGCAGTCTTTGAAATCGAAAGGAATATATCGAGAGATTATATAGGAAGCTTAGATGAAACATACTTAACTAAACTAGCAGTAGCTACTATAGATAATACGTTGTTAACAACTTCATCTTACAATTTAGTACAAAAACGAAATATCGATATAATAGATACTGAAGATTTTACTATAAATGATACTAGAACTACCTTGAATGCGGAAAATTTTCATATTAAATTCCCAAATATATTAAAACCTGCAAAGAAAAAGGGAAATTTCGTTGGCCGTCCAAAAGCGTATAAAATTGAAGATTTAAATGATCTGACTACAGAACCAGTCATAAGTAAGTTGCTATAAAAAATGAAATAAATTTAAAATTTTAAAATCAAGATGATTACAATGTAAAACAATGTTGTATGTTGCAGATGAAAATCCTACTCAAGAGACAACTCCAGAGAAATATAATTACGGCGATTATGAATTTGTTGATACAATAGATACGACTCCAGTCACAACTGTTATCAAAACTACTACACAAAGAGTTACGTTTTCATTAATAATGCACAATACAAGCAAGCCTCTATGGCTTCGTTCAGGTAAAAAGTGACAAATAAACAAACATACATACAAAAATATAAAATATTTACTTATATATATTTTATATGTACATACGAGTAGACTAATAATTCATAATCACTATTAAACTTTAGGCACAATCGGATTGAATTCATATAATATAAATGCATATATTGATAACAAATGAAAGTACCTACAATAATGCTTAAATGTAAATAAAACTATGAACGACGATTAATTATTTTCATAGAGAATATATTCATTTTGTAGAAGCTAAAAATTACTACAAAGAAAATAAAGACAACTTACAGAATCACTTTAAATAGTTTGTCAATGATATATTATTGATTAATATCTCTAATCTTAAAAGCCTATACTCGTAACATATGGCCACATCAGAAACTTAGAAAATTATGCATAAGACGTTCTTGCAGACAATACTGTTAAAAGTATCAAACAGGAGACAACGAACACAACGTTAATACCAGAAGATGTAACAACAGCAGATGCATCTTATAGCAGAATATCTTACAACACAAGTGCTGAAGATTTGGACGTATATAATGATATTATTTCAAATTTAAACATCACAAAAATTTTGAATAAATCTGATGAAGATATACTAAATGATCGTAAGTAAAAAAATGTAGAGACGCAAAAGCTTTAGTCAATAGAGTTTATTCTAAATCTTGTTCTAATGCTATCGTATAGCTTTACCAAAAATCAATTACTAAGTACTGATATTAAACAAATTATACAGTTCAAGAGGTTTTTATAGATAAAAATGTGTGGAATTAAAATATTGTAAGTGTTACTTGGGCTCTTACCAACAAAACTGCAGAGCTGGTGGTAGCTTGGATTGAAAGAAAGTCTGTTTATATTTGTATCTATCATCACAATTTGAATTTTATAAAAAATTTTTTTTATGAAACTTTCTTTTTCGGTATAGAATCCGAGAACATAGTGATTCTTCTTATAGAACAAAGGGAGTTGACACTATATATCTCGCTATGTAACTTACAACTTGACAAAATAGGAATAAAAATTACAGAAAATGCGAGAGACACCGATGCATAATGGTCCAGTTGTTGTTGATTAATAAATTTAAGCTCATTGATAATAGAAAACCTCTGAAAGTCTAGACAGAGATCTTTAGTACTAATGACTCGCATTTAAACTAACATGATGGCGCGTCTCTAACTCATTAAAATAATCTTATTTTCCACTTGTCACAGGATAAATATAATATAATAGTTATGTAATTCTTATGTAAAAAGATACACTAATTTCAAAACCATTTAAAAGTAGTTATTTTTGAAGTTTACACTCCGTCATATATCTTCAGGTCTATTCGTTAAAAAAACTTACAGACAAATTGAGAACCTTCTCGTTTTCGAAGTCGGTTAAAAAATTACATTTTTAACCGATATATTACAACTATTACATTTGTAATATTAATGAAGAGATTTTCATATGTTAAATATCTTTAAGCTCTACATTTTGTTTTGCAGCGGAAACTATGCGACAGTTAGAAGAAGCTTTGAATCGTATGGAAAATAAGTTAGCGAAGCCGCCGTACACAGGAAAGGTACTCGTATTGTCCGTGCACATAAAGAATGGGATTAGATATAACGACTCTTTAAAATTAAACTGTCAGCATAATTCGGTTTAAGCGCCAATTTATTTCGCTCATAACGTGGCAACGATTAATTTTGCTTAAATGTTTTAGTTGTATAATATACAAAAAAATAAAATATTAAAACTACATAATATATTTAAAACTACAATAGTTTCACATTTTGTGTTCTAGATGAAAATATTTTTTTAAATTGAGAATTTTATGCACATACAACTTTTAAAATGTCCTGTCCTTTATGTGCATGAGTTATGTTAGTCATTGATTTTCTTAATGTATGTTTATTTTATATAATCTGTTCAAGTAATTTAATAAGCTAAGTTTTTGACGATACCTTTGGCTCAGTTTTTAGTGACCTTACATACCCAGATACATTTTTTTTAGTAAATTATAAATCCAAGTTTATATATATAATATTTATATTAGTATTAAAACTATCTTAACTGTCTAGGTCCGTCGAGAGTTGAGAAGTGATGAAAAATCAAACGAAAATACTCCAAATGACTCTAATTTAAAGGATTTAGAAAGAAATAAATCTTTAGAGCGAGGCCCGATGCTAAGCATGGTCTTGAAATACTTGCCATATTTGAAACCCTATGAGAAAACCATAGTAGGTGATTCTACTAGCAATAATAGCGCTACGCTTTTGCCTTATTTATTTTTTATTACTATATTATTTTTATGAGTAATTGTTTTATAATATTTGCATAATTTTTTATATTAAAATATTGTGTTTTATATATTTCTTATATATTTTTTTATTCTGTGTATTGAGCTTTAGGAAGTATATGAGTAAGTACCGTTCATTGTTTGAATTAACATTATTAACCCAAAATAATCATTTCCTTTACGAATTGTTCTGACTAAACGTTGATATCATTTGATTCTTTGAAGTAATTACATTAAGTGACCTCGTGGCATATTTCAGGCAGTTTTTAAGTGTCCTTGTTCTAAAATTAAATTATAAGGACTCTCAAAAGAATTATAATTGGCACGCTATGGATTTTGAACTAATTTAAAAAAAATATAAGACAAAGTTTAAGCTACGCAATTTTTATGGAGTTTTATTATGATATTAGAAAATAAGAAAATTGCTTTTTACTGCAGGATATAAGCTACTCATATTTAACTTCACTCAAATATGATATTATACTAGCAGTACCCGCGGCTTCGCCCGCGTCTCAACTTCCGATCGTTAAACAAATTTACAGGATCACCCATCACCCACCACGCTGGGCTAATCTGAAGATTACCTGAAAATTTCATGAAAATCGCTCCAGCTGTTTTGGAGTCCATAGGAAATACATATGCACATCGATTTTTATTATATTCGATCAACAATTTAAATTTATTTATTGCTCGGAAAATGGAGTCTTTTATGAAAATTTAATGACACACCGACTGCAGCGTCACCGACAGGATCCATTTGTGAATTAAAACCTTGCAGGGACCTACTCGAATGTACACAAAAAATATCATTAAAATCGTCCCTGCCGTTCAGGTGATGATCAGTGGCGCACCGACTGCAGCGCCACCTAACGGATTCAAATGTGTTTTCAAACCATTCAGGAGCCCATTGAAATATGTACACAAAACGTCATCCAAATCGGTCCAGTTCTTTAGGAGGAGTAGGTTAACAAACACACGTACAGAAGAATTATATATATTAAGATAATCTTAATATATAAAATTCCCATGTCACGATGTTGGTCCGCGATGAACTCCGAAACTACGTATCCGAAATTTGTTCCAACTTAAACGATAGGATAGTTTTTATCTCGGTTATTTCCTTTTTTATTACAAAATTAACGATTTTCATATGTGTGCCATAGCAACGCATTCCCGGGTCTGCTAGTTCATACTAATATTATAAATGTGAGAGCGTATTTGTTTGTTTGTTTGTTTGTTCTTTTCTCACGTCGAAGCAGAGTGACAGGTTGTTGTGATTTTTGTATGGAGATAGTTGAAGGGCTGAAAAGTGACATAGGCTACTTTTTACCGCGGGAGATTATCTCATTCCCACGGAAAAACACGTTATAATACAATCTAGAACAACTCATAATATACTCGTAGTTTATCTATTCCATTAACCCAGGCGAAGCAAGGGTGAGTCGGTAGTATTTACAATATTAGTGTATTTTAGACATATAATTTAAATATGTATAAAGTAGTATAGAAATGTACATTTGTGAAGTCGGTAAACACGTATGCATGAACGGACAGTGCAATTAGGCCAGCGTCGAGCGTCGGTCATCGTCCGCAGTCGCGCGCGCCCCGTAGCGCCGTAGATACCGCTACGAATGCGCTCTCACAATATTGTTAGGTTATATACACGTTTCGAATTTTTTATTTGCAAGTTTTAATAATGAAATTTTGAATCTTATGAGACCTTTTTAGTGTATTGTAATGGTTTTTGTATTTTATGTGCTGTTTGAAATCGATGTTAGATAATACTTTCAAAGATTTACGTGATATTTTCGTATTTTAAATGAACGTGTCTTTTTGGATTTTGTCGCGGTTTTATTTTGAGTATTTTGTGCCGTTTAGAATGCTTTAAAGCAAACATGGTTATGAGAAATTGAATTGATTGATACTAAAGTTTTTGATGTCTTTAAAGTTAAGTGTAGTTATTACAGACGATGTCCCCTCACAAAATTAAACAGTAATTTAAAACAAAAAGCACAATAAAAGAAAAAAATAAGAATCGCCGGAAACTAAAACTCAAAATAAAAAGGCCACAAAATGCGAGTTTGTTTCATTTCGATATTAAACATAATATGAATTCGATTAGAATTTATTGATTTAAAATATTCAAAAAGATTTTTTTAGATTTCCCAAAGTTTACTGAGGTAAAGGTAAAAGTTATATGAGTATATACCTAAATTGACTAATGATAAAGTATAAAATCTACGATGTCGAATGATATGAAGTCAGCTTCAATGGACCTAAACGGTTCCCGATCGTGGTACAGGCGAGAGAATGACGTGAAGATTGAATTCGGTTTTGGAGTACCCCTTGGTGCGATGTCCGCACACCCTGTGTTTCATTCAGCTTGGGATATCGGGTGGTATGTAATAAGTCATTATTATTTTTATTGAATAATTAGCAGTACCGCGGTTTCGCTCGCTTTCAAACTTCCAATACCAAACTTCACAGAACAACCACCACCGATGAGCTAGTTTGAATATTGCCTGAAAATTTCATCAAAAACACTCCAGCCGTTTTGGAGTCCATAGGGAACATACATATACATATCGATTTTTATGTATATAGATAAGAAGTGAGTCCGATGGGTTTACCTACTGTTAATATTAAAGCTTTAAATATATATTTATCTTTATTATAAATTTATTTATATTATAAATATATAGTTATCGCATCGAGTGTAACCTTAACAAGCAAACAGACAAAAAATTTATAAACTATTTTTTTTTGGAGTCTTTATTCTGAACACATTTTACAGTCATTGTACAGTATTTCATTTACAGATTTCGCTAAGTTACTATTTTATTATATGTATACTCGTAGATTATGTTAAAACGTACCTAGGGACGCACCCATGCAAATCAGGGTAGGTCGCTAGTTGTTCCTAAAGTAAGAAGCATCTGTACTTGACCTGTAAACTATCGTCTAAAATCATGTTGATATGTGTCTGAGAGGATAAACAAAAATACAATTATTAAAAAAACATAACAAATATTTTTAACAACAAAACATTTGATAACAAAAATGAAAAAAAAATTATAGTTCCCATGCCAGAAACTGAACACCAAATCGAAAGATTTAACGTGATCTATTTTCAAGTCAAATATTAAATCCCTGTTACTTTTCAACCTACTTACAAGAAAAGGAGGAGATGCTCAATTCGGTTATAATTTTTTTTGTTTGATAATAATACAGTATAAAAAATAATGATATATATACTACTTTAATTTATTCCATATTTCTACCTAGAAGTTTTCTTCAATCAGCTGATGGCAATAAAAATTAGTAGTTATTCATACACTAAGGTTGATATTATTTCTTCTATAGGTACATACATATACATTGTGTGACCTGCTTCTGCTTCCGCACGCGATCTTCGGCGATATGATCACTAATTATACCCTTGACTAGAAAAAAGTTTACTTGTAATTTGAAAAGCCTTCATTTCCTACTAATAAATTTTTGAAATGCTGTGTTTCGAATTTAATCTATTTCAATAATTATAATAACACTATGAGCATTTTTTATTTGAAATTTTTGATTTTATTTATAACTCAAATATATAGGTACGAGTATATACAAAAAGTCGACTTCAAAATAAACAATAGAATGTAAAAAATAACTGGTGTGCTTTGAATTGTATCGGCTGGCACCGACTTCGAAAATATCTGATTAAATATCTGTACTAAATGAGCACTACCAATCAGTTATTTTTTACTTTTAGTGTTTTCTTTTGAAATCGGTTTTTAAAATTCATTGGGTGAAAAATCAATCATCCGCTATGTTCTACACTTAGAAGTGTTTTTTTTTTCAAATTTGAATGAAACCAACTTCAGCTTTAAATCCTATCCAATAAAAAAAATCGAAATCAGACTACACTGTAAAAAGTTACGGTCAAACATAAAAAATTAAGCGTGGCGAATTTAGAACTTCCTCTTTTTTTTCGTTGGTTAAAAAACCAGATGAATTGACTGAACATTTCACGTCCGTTAAAATAAAATAAAATCATGTTGCGAAAAATTAATCAACGTAAAAAGAGCGAAAATTTAATTAAATTATGTGTAAACAAAGGTTGCATGCATAAAACAGTAATGTCTAGACGAGCCGTGAGTAATGGTGGTCATGACAAAGGATTACGAAGCGCATGAAAAACTGTTAAATATCGATTTATTGAAACTGACCGCGTAATTATAATTATCGCATTGCCAAGGAAATACGTTATATTTTTATTATACTTTGAAAGAACAAGATATATTAGATATAAATTATAAATATACCCATATAAATCGGGTCCACTTCTAAAAGGTGCAGGAAACGTTTAGTTTTTTGTATCTGTGTCTAAAATCATTCAAATCGAGTTCACAGTTGTGGAGATATCGCAATATTATTTGGTTATTTTTTCTAAGAAGTTTAACTTCTCTTTAATGCAACTTTCAACGTATTCTCAACTACTCAATTTTGGGCTGTTAACGTGGAAATAATTTTGGTTGACCAGCAATTTTGGAATCACATCGAACCACGTACATGCTACTAGATCAACAAGAACTACAAAAAATGCGCTTAACGAATGAACTGAGGCAATCATCTATACATGTAATAAAATTGTAACTAAGCCGAATCTGTACATTAAATATTTTTTGAAAAATCTTATTGAAATAGACATTATTATTTACTATCGATACAGAGGCCGAATCTAAAGGTTTTAGAAATTGGGTCGTCTGTCTGTCTGTTACACAGAAAAACCACTGGAGGGATTTTGATGAAATTTGGTATGGTGATAGCTGGTTACCGGGTCAACATATAGGATACTTCTTACCGCGGGAAAATATCTCACTTCTGAGAAAAAATACAAAAACTGCATTGTAAGAGTATACTAATATGTAAAACCTAAGAATTTGTTTTTCGGCCATCTGAACGCGGGCGCAGCCGCGGGCAATGCTAGTTTCAAATATAACAGGCAATTTTTAACGGTCTGAATAACAGCTTCTAAACTGACGATGATTGAGGACAGCTCTAAAACAAATTAGTAATGACCTTTAGGATAGATATAGCAATATTATTTCAAGCACGGATCTCGTCTCTTATTGTTTCAATGAAAATTGGCGCGTGGGTTTCCAACCGTTTGAAAATAATCTTGACATGCTTGAACTGTAATCAAGTTAGACTTCTGATATTCAATTATATAAATTGCATCCCTACTAATAATAGAATAAATGCGTAAGTGTTTTTGTCCTTCTTTCTGAGCAACAGACATGTAACAGCATCGAAGCCATGGATGATGGGATGTCTTGCACAGAGATAACTTTAATCGGCCAGGGAATGACAGAATCATTTTTACTATCTCAGTATGTAAAATTCCTATGGTGTATAAAATTCTATAAAATAATATAATATCTTGTATAAAATATTTATTTATTATTGAAATTGAAATGTCCGAACGAAACGAGGGTGGGTCACTAGTTTTACTGTATTAAAACATTAGAAAAATACTGAAGAGGAAATTAATGTATATAAAATATAAGTATGCATTTGGTCTTATTTCTAAAAGCGCCTCTTTATCAGTCACCCAGGAAAATTAAAGTGCAAAGCGCTCGGCGTAAAAGGGTAGCTTATGAATACTATGAAAATAAATATTAATATAATATCTTGCTTTTAAAAACCCTTACAAAAATATGAATATACGCAGACTTTTTTTTTTTTTTTTTTTTTTTTTTTTTTTTTTTTTTTTTTATAGTTGGGAAATCCTATTACGGATACCACCCGACTTCCCCCCAGGGTGGTTATGTGGAGACTCTCCGGCTAATGAGACCGGCATACCCACTAAAACCCAACTTTCCCCACAGCCGCCATGTGGGACGCCACGGGACCGCTTTCGCATACAACCGTGACGCCCCGGCGGTTGGCCGAAGCCACCAACCATGAGGCCGCCCCAAGCGGGACGACCCCATTATGGGAAGACTTGCAACCCTGAGAAGTGAGGCTGCTCCCAAGTCCACTCTGCTGAACAGAGAAGTACCCGGAGCAGCCCCACACAACCAAACACCGCCCACCGAAGTGGGCAACCTGCAAAAATAAGCGGCCTAAGCCTGTCCTTCCACACCCAAATTGGGCAACCTCCAACAACGCCCGAAACCGAGCCCACCCCAAACGGCTGCAGGAGTAGAGGATGCGACAACGCCGACACTCCCCTTCCCCTACAGCCCCACCGCGTCCACCATCAACGGTGGTGGCCCCGCTAGGCCGCGGGAGATAGGGACGAGCGGCGCATCGCCATACCGACACTCCTCTTCCCCCGCGGCCCTCCTACCGTCGGCCCACCTCCGGACCAAAATGGCTTCCGACACCCACGCCAGACGCAGGACCACCGAACTGGCCCTGCTCCAGCCGCCGCACCGACGGGCTAGCCCCGGCAGCACGGCCCGCGCAGCGCCTCCTACCGCGAAACGGCCGGAGACACCGCGCTACCTCCAAGAAGGAGACGGCGCCCTCCTGACACCGCTCCCCCTGCCCCTCCTGGCTGTTGGTCCGCGCCGGATTGCTCCGGTACCACAAGCTCCTGTCTGGGGGAACAGTCGCGAGTGGTTTTCCCCTATCCGCCACCCGGGGGACGCGTCCGGTAGCAGTCAGCCTCTGCCCCGGAGAATATACGCAGACTATATTAACATATATATTGTTATAATTTAATGGAAATAATTTAAAAACCATTTTGAGATCTGTTTCATAGATATTTAAGCATTTAAATATTCATATATGTTTTCCTTATAACTATTGTATTACATATTCAAGTTAATGACCGCCCCCGTCGCCGAGTGTTGGCCATGATGGCCTAATAACCTTGTTTAAGGCCATCGATGGATAATATACGGAAGGACTTTTTACCTTCGAATCCTTCAAAGCCTTTATATCGTAAGGTCATTGTCCTCGAGGCTTTTGACACACATTGCCTGTAAGCTTACCCCACTTCCGTCAATGAACAGACAAAGTTAAATGACTCCGGTTCGAGTATCTGATATTGTAGTGATGCTCTGTTGTCTTTATTATGGTATTCATGTTTTTATTCAAATTGTTCTTCAAAATTTATTTATTACACCCAATTTTTTAACGATTTGAATAAAGCAGATATTTCTCTATGTGATTTATTATTTAACTGTATTATTGTATAGTTAATGTGTTATTGTGAAGTAGTTTAATCCTTGATTTTCATTGCTATTTAAGTGAAGGTTACATCACTAAATGTTTAACAGCAAAGTAGGTCACTAATATGAATAACGATAAAAACCCATTTCACACAAAAAGATTGACATGACCTTCCATACAAAAATAAATATTTTACAGGATACTTAAAGTTGTGGTCATAAGGAACTTTTTTCTTTGACATTAAAAAATCACTTTACGCACAATATGGCGGACACGAGTTTCCGCCTGTTGCTATGACTACGGGATCAAAACAGACTTGCCAAAAACATTAGCTAGCAAATGACACACTTAATAATTACAATGTATTCATGATATATAAATTTTATAAGCATACTTATGTTTTTGTCTGGGCTAAGATTAGGCAAACGAATTATGGACTTTGGTTTTGGAGAGAGCTTTATCCCAAATTTTGGTGGCTTACGTCAATTTTTTCAGCATGATCCTTATTTTGGGTATGTAATTATAAAGGAAGACATGTAATAAGAGATAAGTTTAAGATTATTATAAGTAAATATCCACTAACTCTGCTATTAACTACTAAATAACATAGAAATAATGTTGAACATGGTTTTGTTATTCCTAGATCATATTGAAACACCATGAAAGTATGAATAACAATAGAGGCTGCGATGAATGATCGTTGAACGAGATGCATGATTTATAAATGTATCATTATAAAGTGCGGGAAACAAAAGCTCTACGATGTACCTGATATCCAGAGTAGAGCAGAATAGAGTAGATAATCTGTATTTACAAAATTATTGCACCTACTCATTGTCAATACATGTAATAATGTACATTTTTTGCAGTCCTAGTTCTGGCTTCCACCAAATGGCCAGAATGATGGATCGCATGATGTCCGAAAGCCTACAGCCGTTTGGATTTGCGAGACTTTCAGCGCGTCGTGGAGGCGATATGAAGGACGATGCACCTCCACCTCGAGATGGACTAAGAACTGAAAATAGTGATAATAGACGAGACAGAGCGCGAAATCCTAACACACACCTTGGTAATGGAACTAGGCATCCGCCTACACAAGGTATTTGATTATTTTCTTTCAAAATTATACATAACAGCGTAAATAAATTTTTTATACTCACAGTATACTATCCAACACTACTTGTAACGAGTACCGCTTTCGTGTACATACTCGAAAGCGCCAATTACGCTATGCAGTAACATTACTATCAAGTTTCCGGTATATTCATTATTTTAATTATTTTGTTTTAGTTGTAAAACCGACTCCAGTAAACAAGTTTCAAGAGCAGCCACTCGATCAAACCAAACCAACAGATCCTACCACAGAAAAATGGGCTGGGACACTGCGAAAACGAGACCCTGATATCCAGCCTACTTTACCATCGATTGTCACTCGCAAGACGTCTTCAACTTCATCCATCAGTAGCGGAAGAAAAACTCGATCAGTCGAAAGAGTACCGAGAACTCGAAGGCAATTAGCTCCAATAAAACCGATAATAAGGAAATCTGATATACCAACAGAAGGCGATATGACAATGTTGGAGAAAGATGAAAAGATCTTCAACACATCTGGTTATGAGATACATTTAGTTGAAACTCTGGAGAGGGACATTTTGCAAAAGAATCCTGATGTACGTTGGAGGGATGTGATAGGATTGGACGATGCCAAGTCTGTATTGCAAGAAGCAATGGTACTGCCACTCGTGATGCCTGATTATTTTAAGGTAGATACAAATTTAGGGTTGTTTATTTTTAGTTTTTTAGCTGTATTAATAAGAGCTGGTAATTATTTTATCCTGATATATACGTATAGTCAGTGCATCAATAAAACAGAAAGTTAATTACTAATTTTATATTTCAATGTTGTGGGTTATTTTATAAATTTAATTTTAAATTTAATCCAAATCTAAAACCTTTACCGTTAAATATTTTGAACATAAAAATGCTATTGAACTTTAAGTTTTAACAACAGCCTAAAATATTTCAGTCTGATATAAATCGAGGTCATTAACATTTAATTAATACATTAAGATAAAATGTTTTTAAATAGTAATGTAGTATAAACTTTCAGCAAAATGAACATGTTATAAAGTGAAAAGAACAATTTAATACCCAAATTTAGTCAGTCTACACTAGGTTAGTTTAAAGTGGTGATTCGCGTGAGCGATTACATCGTTTTAAGTATTTGCATTCACGCTTAATAATTTCAACAAGGCGACCGACAATGGCAAGGAAATAGACGAAAGGCTATAAATAAATCTCTCATATTTTCGGTGGTCATTTAGTACTAGTTTTTATCCATATGAAGATAATTTTATAAGTATGGATTTTGAAGTGGAAAAATGAGATTAAAAAAATATGTCACAAAAATTATTTATATAATACTTATTATCATTATGGCCATACCAATGATTTTTTTATACAAACTGCCTGTTGCTCAGTACGTAAAACATTTTTTTTTATAAAATTTTTTTACTAGTACCACTAAAGTACTACGTACATCCTAGAAAACTATGCTAAATTCTATGGGAACATTTAGCGTTTTATTGTGACAAAATAATAAACAGAAAGAAATACATATATTGCATTCATAACTTGTAGGTACAAATAAAAATGAAATACTGTTCATTGGTATGAGTATCACATGAGAACAGTTGGACAAAGACTATTTATTTTTAAAAATACTCAAAATAGTTCGAATATAATTATTTTTAATGAAAAAATGGGAAGGTTATCCGGAAAATTAGGAAATTTGGGAGAAATGGAAAGATTTTGTATGATAAAAGGATCTCCAACAAAAGGATCAGGATGTCTGTTGGGTCTGCTAGTAAATATAATTATTATGTGCAAGTAAAGATTTTTTAATGACATTTACAGGGTATACGTCGTCCCTGGAAAGGTGTACTATTAACCGGTCCACCGGGAACAGGGAAGACGCTGTTAGCCCGAGCGGTGGCTACTGAATGCAGGACCACCTTCTTCAATGTATCATCCGCTACTTTGACTTCAAAGTATCGCGGGGACTCTGAAAAACTTGTTCGCCTGTTGTTTGATATGGTATGGATATGACTTTTAATTTTTCGACAATTTTCAAACTTAACCTCCATTACATTGTGTAGAAAAAGAAACTCAAGCTGTATCTTTAAATCATATGGTATTACTTTTATGATAAAAAAATCCATCGCTTTTTTTCTGAAATGGTTTGGAATTGTGTTAATGGGGCTTACAGTGTTCTTCAAGTGTCCATATTTTGTGGAAGACACGAAGTCCAATTGACGTTTAGAGTCTTACACAACTAATAAATATATACATATATAGAAATTATATGTTATGATGATTCGACGAGACGCTTAAATATGTCATACCCATAAAAAAATTACTGCGAATGTAGAGTGCAGTTATCTAAGCTTATTATAATGACAAATGAGCTGTATAATTTCTCTAATCTTACTGGTACTTCATAAAAGAACAATGAAACATATAAAACGCTGAACATTTATATATAATTTAACATCGGATATAAAAAATTGAACTCTCTTAACAATTGACATGCAATTTACGTCACTTCAATTATTATACATTGTTATTGAGTACTTTCAATCGCAACACTTGCGTAAGGAGCACACGCATATCGATTTGTTTCAATTGATTGTAATATAAATTGTTATTATATAAGTGAGTGATTTTGTGTATATGATGTTAACTCCGGAAATACTGAATTTAAAATTGTGTATATAGTATTATTTTGATTATTAATATTTAATTACCAAAAAATGAATATTAATTTAACTAAATACATATATAAAATTTCCTATATCCTTAAAAGAAAGTAAACGATTTGTATGACAAAATCGAGAATAGTAGCATAAACAGCTAATCACGCTATTATTGGACTTTGATGATTATTTTGGCGGACTCAGTCAATGTGTATAGGTATTTCTTTAGTCTGAGGCATTTACCGACATATTTGTGTAGTATAAAAAGGAATATAAGAGGAAGCTTGAAAGTCGCTTCAGTGACAGAGAAGATGAAAGGAAATCGTCTGAGTTGGAATGAACTTGTGAAGAGGAGGGATGAAATGCATGTGACGAGAAGAGTGTAGATGGATGGACAGGTAGAGGAAGACCGAAGAAAAGGTAGATAGATTTTATAAAACAGGACATGAGAGAGAAATTGGTGAATGATGAGGTGACGAGTAATAGGGGAGAATGGAAGAGGAAGATGTACTGCGTCGACTCCAAGTAATTTGAGAAATGTGGCAGGGAGATGATGATTGTGTAGAATAAAGAAATGAATATATAACCATTTGCAGGCAGCATTCCACGCTCCCAGTACAATATTTCTCGACGAGGTGGACTCTTTGTGTGCGGTGCGAGGTGCAGACTCGGAACACGAGGCGTCTCGGCGGTTCAAAGCGGAACTGCTCATACAAATGGACGGGTTGGCAGCCGCTTTGTAAGTGTTTTTCCTTTTTTGTATGATCCAGTATCTACTATGTAGATATAGTATGTATGTTAGTTATATAACGCATAAAGCAGGTGCTATATGATGGAAGTTACGAAATAAAATTTGACAAAATTATTATTGATACAATTGTTTTTTGTTGGGCCTAAGAGGATTAGTACAATAGTCAATTCAATTCTTTGATCAATGGCTCCTAGGAGTATATAATATAATATTACATATAAAATAGTATAAAAAAATGGAAAAATACTGGATCGGTTTACTTGTAGAAAAGGAACGATTCGATGTAAAACAGCTTATGGTAAGAGATGTACATAATATATTCGGAAGATATAAAGACTAACACAATAGTGTATGTACATATATTTATATATTATAATCGCTTGTTAAAGTAATCAAGATAAAGTAATAATGGTGCTAGCGGCTACGAACCACCCGTGGGACATCGACGAGGCGTTCAGGCGACGTTTCGAAAAGAGGATCTATGTCGGTTTACCTGATGGTAAGTAATTTTAATATTAATTTATTATATTTTTTCACAATCTCGTTTTAAAAATTACATATTTTACGAAAAATGTGTAAATATTCTAATACCTATACTTCGTGTTATATTTTTTTCTGTTATTGTTATTTTTCTTTAGTTAGTAAATTACATTTTACACAACAACATGTATTGAGCCCTTTTTAACGTCCCACTGCTGGGCACGGGACTCCCTTGAATTTGAGGGGGATCAGGCCATAGTTCACCCACGCTGGATAATATATTATGTTAATAATAAATACTTTAAACTGATTTAAATTGGAATTTCTTTTGCAGCTGAACTTTGTAAGATAGAAGCCTATATAATATTCAACCGATTACTTTTCTTCGAAAATTCTTCGATTTAAGTAGTTCTTCCAGTGTTTTCTTAGGGAAACCCCTATTTTTAGGAATAAAAACCCTGTAATTGTCGCCAAAATTATATAATAAGATATGAAAGGAGTCAAAAATGATGAATGTTAGAGATGAATGAGGAAACGTCCATATTACGTCAATCCCACGCAGGTGGCATAAGGTTCAGAAGAAAATTAGTTGATTCTCTTATACAAAAATATAATTTTATTATTAATTATCTTTCAGAGGCGGCAAGAGTGAAGTTATTGAGGCTGTGTCTGCGGGAAGTGGTTTTGGGCGACGACCTCGATCTAACTGAACTGGCAAATAAGTTGGAGGGGTATAGCGGCTCTGATATTACTAATCTTTGCAGGTAAATATTGCTTTAAAGTTAATTTTTATTATCTTTAGAGTCCAAAATTGAGTGTTTTAAAAAGTTATAGTACTGTTTGGTTTTATTTTTTGGGGTGTTATAAGTTTGATGTGTTTGTCTGTCGCAACGTAGCTCCCGAACGGATGACAGTTCATTTTGATTGTTTTTTTTGTTTAAAAGGTGAATTATTTGGGAGTGTATTTAGCTATGTTTGATGAAAATTGGTTCAAGCTGGTCGGGGGTTCTTAAATTTTTTATTTAATTTAGTTATAATTAGATATTTTATCGTAAAGGCAAGAGTAAGCACATATCTACCAACATATATATGTGTATCCCTTATAGAATAAACGAATTTTATACCATCGTTAATATAAGCTCTTATTAGATAGATGAAAGTTAAAACCATATTAAATATCCAAACAGGGACGCGGCCATGATGACAATGCGTCGTAAAATAGCCGGCAAGAGTCCTGATCAGATTCGTCGCTTGAAGCGCTCTGAGTTAGATGCGCCTGTGTCCAAACAAGACATGCACACCGCCATAGAGAAGACGCGACGCACGGTCACTCAAGCGGATGTAGCGCGTTACACCGCTTGGATACAAAAACACGGCTGTTCCTAGCGCAGGGCTAAAGCGCTTAAAGCGCTTCTTCAATGCCTCAAAGCATAGTGATTGGACTGTCTCTAAAATTATCGTGGTTAATATGTCGATGTCATTATTAAAAAAAATTATATGAATTGGTTTCATTTGGTGTTATATTGTTAAGAAAGACGTTGTCGAGTTTATCGAAATATCATGTGCTTGACAATTATTAGATATCTGATAACTGTGTATTTAAATTCGTTTTGATGTTTTTTAGAAATTAATTAAATTAAGTCGCATGTTACAAAGACATTTATATTTTTTTTATAAAATTTAAAAGCGCTTTAGCGTATTGTGTTATTTTTAAATAATTTCAATATTTTTTTTTAATACATAATAATTAAAATAAAATAATATTCATTAATCAATGATCCAAACAATAACCAATTATTTTTATTTTTTTATTGTTTTTTTTTTACAATTATTAAAGTTGATATAATATAATTTCTAATTAAATGCATTAATTAAAATATATAACTAAATATTCGGTGCGAAAATGAAATGAATTGTAGTATTAATTGATCGTATTATCATCTGAGCATTTATCCATAGCAGTTGGATGCTTCAGAGTGCATAGAGTAATTAGATTTTGTACGTAACTATAGTTTTGAAATTATTTAAATAATAAATGTAAATTAGCAAATCAGTAATTTACAGTATGTCGTTGTTTTATTTTAATGTAATGTAATAAATAAATAATTTTACATTTCTTTTTTTCAGTTGGGCCTTTATTTCTTCAACAGGTTATGCAAAGAGGTCCCATTTAAATTAAAAAAAATCTTGTCAGTGTGCCATGAATTTTTTAGTGTGTATTAGTTTGTTTATTATTATGTACCAATTCCAATATTATCTTTGTATTGAAATTGATGATTGAACCTATAATTGCCAACAGCTATTTGCTAACCGCCTTCCAAAACACGCTAATATATGTAATGTCGATGCCGAGACGGTCATGTCTTCGGTAAGTCAAAGATATTTTCAAATGTAGTAGATTTATCAGTCACTCTCGCTTCGCTTGGGTTCGTCCCTAGGTACGTTTTAACCCTTAGTATGAAATAGATAGACTATATATTTTATGATATACATAGCCTTCCTCAATAAACGGGCTATCTAATGCAAAAATATTTTTTCAAATAAGTGATAAACAATAATAATAACGCGTTGTTTAATAGTGAATGAAATGGTGTAGAAGTTGACTTGCTACAGCGCCATCTAGTTGGATAGTATAAAACCTTTCTAAAAATGCAATTATAGTATTTACATTGTAGAATGGTGCGAGTCAGGCTTGTCAATACCATGTGATAAAATTCAATAACTTTTATAGCATGTGATAAAATTCAATAACTTTTATCAATAAAGATTTTCAGAGTAAAATCTCAATGAAAATAGCGATAAAATTAAAATATTAATAACTAGCGGAAAAAGCGAAAAACACTAATAGAGATCTATTAGTTCCCACGGGAACTGTTTATTTCTCCGGGATGAAAAGTAACCTGTTATTTGACCGGCAATATAAGGTATCAGAATGTTATATTTTTCTAAATCAGGTGCATAAGTGGTTGTGTACTAAGCTGTATAAGTTATTATAGTTTTTTAACTATCCCACGGGAACTATTTAATTTTCGGGGATAAAAAGTATCTAAGATGTTGCCCGGGGATATAAGGTACCACCATGCAAAATTTCATTTAAATCGGTCCAATAGATTCGGAGATTAGCCCGTAAAAACAGACAAACAGACAGAGAAACAAAAAATTTGAAAAAAATCTGGATTTGTTCTATTTGTCTTCTTACATCCCCTGGCTCGGTTTTTACCTTTTTTTTGCTATGTACAGACATTCGACCAATATTAATAACTAGCGGAAAAAGCGAAAAACACTAATAGAGATCTATTAGTTCCCACGGGAACTGTTTATTTCTCCGGGATGAAAAGTAACCTGTTATTTGACCGGCAATATAAGGTACCACCATGCAAAATTTCATTTAAATCGGTCCAATAGATTCGGAGATTAGCCCGTAAAAACAGACAAACAATCAGTCGACCGATCAGTCGACCGATCAGTCGATCGAACAGTTGATCGATCAGTCGGTCGAGCAGTCGATCGATCAGTCGATCGATCAGTCGATCGAACAGTCGATCGATTAGTCGATTGATCAGTTGATCGAGCAGTCGATCGAGTAGTCGATCGAGTAGTCGATCGATCAGTCGATCGAGTAGTCGATCGATCAGTCGATCGAGCATTCGATCGATCAGTCAATCATCATCAATAAGTGAGTGAGTGAGTGAGTGAGTGAGTAAGTAAGATAAATAGATAAATAGATAAATAGATAAATAGATAAATAAATAAATAATTTATCGTTTTACTTAACGATGAAAATGAGCACTTATCAAAATAATGTCTTGTTGGTTGTTTGATATTAAGTAGAGATAGAGATAGACCAATAAATAAAAGTTGCGTTAATATTATTTCGCTTTAAACACTTTGGTTTCTTATATAGTTATACTACGTGGGTACGTACACATAGCGTTGCTAGAGTCTAATAGGATTTTTAAGAGGAATAATTCTGTAATACATTGTTTTCACATAAGTTTATTAGTTTACGCGGCGCACGCCAATAAAGCTTCCAGTCAGCATGATATTTTCCGACATCTTCAACAATCGTCGTCACATTTCAGCTAATTTACACAAAATCTTAATGTATTATACACCTAAACCTTCCTCATGAGTCACTCCATCTATTGGTGAAAACCGTATGAAAATCCGTTTGGTATTTTTTAAGGTTTATCGTGTTCAGATAGATAGACAAAGAGACTAAGAGACAGAGATACTATATTTTAAAAACATACTTTCGATGAAATCGGGAAAGTTCTCCTTAATCAAAACATTACTTTTAGTAACGAAGATCTTCTTTAAAACATTCGATTAAGTATTTATTCTATATCTATGATAAAAAAAGTTATGACTATTAAAAACTACTTTTTGTGACTTAAATATAAAAGTTAGATTTATGCTGTCGCTGACTTTTTTGTAGGCATTATTAAGCTCTACAACTTTTCTCTAGAACATAATCATCATATATCTCTCATGGTTAAGGCAGCGTTCGTAAGAAACGTTTTCGTTCGACCGTTTCTCCGACTTACTTTGCAAATCCGACTATCATCGAAAAACCTTTTCTTCGGGTTAATATATATTATTTATTTTAGTTAATATATATAGCTATATAGCTACACTATATATATATATACACTCAGAAAGAACGTGGCTTTCTGTTGGTAAAAGAATTTTGAAAATCGGTTCAGTAGATCCAGAGATTACCCCCTACAACGTCACAAACTCACAAAATCATAAACCCACAAACTCACAAGATCACAAACTTTACCTCTTTATAATATTAGTATAGATAAAAAATCCTTTCGGAAATATGTGGTTTTTCATGAGTTTTTCCTTTTATTTACATAAATAAAAATTATGTATTTATTTTTATAAATATTAGAATATCTACACATAGAGATCATACTTTTAATGTATATCATGTATGTAATATTTTTGTAGTAATGATTTCATTTAGAATTTTCGTTATTAAATAATAAACTTTTTAGATTAAAATAGCTTTATTAAGGAATGGCGTAAACGTGTTTTTTACAAGGTCTGTTTGCGTGATGTGATATGTGCTCTAAGTATGATTAATAAAAGACAATTTAAATTTTATTCTTTTACTAAAGCGAGATATGTGTTTTAAGGCCACCATTATTGATCCATAGACGAAATATAATTATTTCATAACAATTTCATATAAAAATCGAATAAATATATAATTATTTATTATGTAGAATTATATAAAATTATGCGCATGCAAAGGGTTAAGAATTTTTGTTATAAAGTGTTTTTTAATAAGGGACAGTAATATAATTTAAATTATACTTACAATAATTATATTATTATATATTAAATATTAGCACTTCATTATCTTACTTATTCTAAACAATCCTATAACAAGAAGGCACAGAGTCTATATTTACAAAAAACAGCCGTAACATGCAAAACATACGATAAATCTTTGGCTAAAAATAATTAAAAAGTAAAAGATATTTCTTAAAACTACAATAAAGACTTATAAGTCCATAAACTTAGTGGTTAGTAAATATTTAAAAAGGTTGCGGGTTCAATCAAGGCAACGGTATTCGAAAACAAGACATTGCTCTACTAAGTTGAGGAGATTTTCAATGTATTTTTGTTATTCAAATCCGAATCACTAAAGGAAATTGATACTTAAATACAATTAAGACCCATTATTTCTCAAAAAAGCTAAGTAATCTTGTATGAGTTTATCTATTACATTTTTTATACATTGGGTAGTTAACCTATATATATATATATATATATATATATATATATATATATATATATATATATATATATATTGGGTTAACCCTAATAAAAAGAGTTCCTATGAAAGAAATAATTTGACTGGGGAACCTATTGAAAGGGATTTTGTTAAAACACTTCAATAAACCAGTTTATAAACTCCTTAAAGGGTAACCAAATGGGCCCTTGCTAGTTATCGAATGGCCTAAATATTTAAATATTTAGATCGAATACATAGTAAGCATAAAATAATATATTTTTTAAATAACTATATTACGTCATATACGAATAAAACAAATATTCGATTACCCTTGCCTTAAAGATCGAATAAAAAATGTTTTTTTATAACTGTATAGGGCAATGTAGAGTTTTAGGTACCCATATATTCCATAATATCCAAACAAAAACAGCAAATAAGTTTTATTTGTTTGTGTATGAAATTTGTGTTTATTTAAAATGTGTTATTTAATATATTTTTTTAAAATACAAAATATACTAATACCGATACTAAGATACTATTGCAATCTATTCACGCTACCGAGATCTTTCATATTGCAGAACTAAATAAGTTCTCAGTGACAAATAAATATGTAGATATTTTCCGTTTGTTTGTTTGTTTGTTTGTTTGTTTGTTTGTTTGAATACACTAATAATCTCTGATTCTACCAGTTAAATAAAAAAAACCTTTTTACATGTTCTACCTATTTTTCTAAGTGTAGGTTATCTAAAAACCCTCTATGACCGTTAACCGTTAAGCCATAATATATTGACTTAGTTATTTCATTAAAAAAAACAGTGGCATATAGATTTCTAAAGCTTTATCCACTTGTAAAAGCGTTACGTAAACCTGATGTGTCATAATAGAGCTAATAATAAATAATTTATAATTGTTATATTATATACGATATTTTATAAAGATCATAATTTTGCATGCTTTTTTAAAATATTTCGTATCATGCACGTACATATAATGTTTTAATAACTTTCTTCTTATTCTTTATCATAATTACTTTATTTCAAAAGACAGTTAAGTCAGTCAATACAAAAGCATCTATTAACAGCTTTAATAAGAAGGCACGTCTAAATATTCCTTAAGTCTTGGATTTCGTTACGTAGATAAACATACATAATTTAAGGCAGTTTTGTTATATCTATTTAATTCCTAAAAAATATATTATTATTATTAATAACAATAATAATTTTATAAATAACTTCAAGAATGTTAATTTGAAGTTTGCTGTTTCAGTAATATTTTTGCTGCAAAATGAATCAGATGTTAGTATTAATATAGATAATTGTATAAAAATACCGGCTGAAAATTAACTCCCTACTATTTTAAAGTCGGTCTATAAAATTGAAGATATCAACTATATAAAGCGACGGAATATTACGGTTTCAAAGATATATGGTACTAACCAGACTACCAGTGGCAAAGATTGCTTTAAATTATTCAAAGTGATTTGAATAGTGGATATTTTTGTGGTGATTTGACATACATACATATATTGCTTATATGTTAACATAATAATATACAAAATATTTCCAATATTTTCATATAAGACAAAAAGTCTTAAAGTTCCACTATTCTTGCACTGATAGTTTATTAACGTAACTCGCAAATAGCACGTAAGTCACCAAAATGTCTAAAACATTAAAATGTTGTAAACGTTTGTCGTTTAAAAACGATGCTAAATTTTTTCTAAAGGGTCCGTATGCCATATACGTCTTACTTCTAAACAATTTTCGTAATCATAGAGGTCGTTAGTCATGAAATGTCACTCTGGTGGTCCACCGTTCGGCTTCGCCTTGATATCTTCCTCATCAGCTTCGAGGATAACGGAGAAGGAGAAGGGTAGAAAGGCATATCCTTGTCCGTCGTAGAACTTACTCATGAATTCTACCCTGTAAATATACAACGATAAGTGCTTATTTAGTATTTTGGTATTAATATTATATAAAGAACATGATGTATAGATGGTTAAAATTATCTAAATGGGTAATATATCTTTGAATTTTAAAATTGGACTTTTTGACAGCTTGGGTAGTCATTTCTAATTTTATGAATAATTAATTTGATCTGGGCCGTACGAAAGACTAGTTTAGGCAGGCAGTTTAGTTAGACAGATGTTTATGAACTAGGCAGCGTTATTTTAAATTAATTTAAAGGTAGTGACACAGTGGCACTTATTTATAATTTTCTTGTTCTTAGAAAAGTAGCGTAAGCGGTTTCTTAGATTCATGGCTACCATAATTAGCACGTTCAAACATATAATAATAATTTATTCAAATACTTTTACAAAGTAAGGTAATATTTACAAAATAAATGACCATTTTGGGAACTACCTGAACTAGGTTAACAATCTGTTTCAGGTAATAGGTAGTTTTACCATACATTTCTCACTGTGACAACATGTGTTTTATATTAAATACATACCAATGCAATCTCAGAGTGTGCAGAAATGCTGATAATCCCTCCATGAGTACCAAGATAGCGAGCGTGAAGCACGCCCACACTGCGAATATAAAGTATAATACGATAGCATTGACCGCTGAGCCACCTCCGAGTCCCATTGTAAGGAGACGCTGCCATAATACTGCAGAAAGTTCTGTAAAATTAACACATTGTAATGAAGTTTTTCCAAGTTTTTTTCATTATTCTTCTCAAGACTGATAGGCATACTGTGTTATCACTTGCATAAATCTTATGTCTCAGAGTCTATGGCTCCCTATGTAAAAAATATATCATATATTAATAGAGTAAGAAAAGAAAAGAAGCTCAAAAATAAGTATTCTTGGTGTGTAAGAAAGGATAATCCAATAAGTGAGCAGTTCCTTTAAATAGGTTTAAAACGAAGTTTTATCTTCCAAATTATCGTACAAATTACAATTATACATGCAGGGTTTTGGGCATAGTATTTCTTAATCAAATTGTTATCTGATTTAGATGATACAATGAACAAACAGAAGCATAATAATAAGTATTGTTATATATTTACATATTTCGAAATCACAGACTTCAATGTGTTGTATAAATATGAAAAGATATAAGTAAACTAGTAATACTCACGAGCATGAGCCAAAGATAAGGCCCAAAGACGTAAATAAGAGGCTGTATGAGAAACAGCGCCTAAAACGTATTCTATTGTGTGGATCGCTTGTGTAATTAATACTTCTCCCATCCCGCCATCGTGGGGGTCTTTCTTTACTACTTCACCACTTTCCACTCCTCGTGTGTACCTCTGGAAATATGAAAAAGAATTTTGTTTCTCATATAATTTACGCGTAAAAGGCTGACTTGATAAATTATTATATTTTTAGTACATTTTCGATTTTTTTTATATTAGTAATAGAAGATTCCTCATATTTAACTCTGTATAATATAAATTAAGATTTGCAATATAACAGTATATATACTACCTTCAGCTTCTTACAGTTTCCGTTAAGCGTTATAAGCGGGTTTAAAGACCTCAGAGCTCAATGATAAAAAAGGTAAATAAAAATTACCCTCCGTTTTTTATCCACCATCATCTGGTACAGTGGCTTGCCAAACAACATGACCGGTATGCAGAGGAAGGCTATCGCTAAGAAGGTCTTTTGTATCGCTTCTTGTCCGTCATACATAAACGGCTTGCAGGGTTCCTTAGCCACAGATTCTTTCATCAGCATCATATTGATGAAAATGATCAGGACTGATGGTGCACAGTATGTTCCTAAGGCTTCATCTGAAAATTTCAGTATATAAATATATGAAGATTGTTAAGAAAACTGATAAAATAAAGAAAGAAAAAAAAGGTTAGTTTTGGACAGAAGAGGTAGTTCCTCTCTCCTCCTTAATCCTCCTTAAAGAGATAGTATTCAACCTTGAGGAAATACACTAAAATAATTATAATGCAAGAGAGATCTATTTGGCATTACGCAACACTAGTGAGAGTGATGCGCTCCAATAAAATTAGTCATTAGTAAGGAATTTTGTTAATATTCTACAACTTCCGCCTTTTTGGAAGTTTGTTAAAAGTAAAAGTGTTTAAAAAAATTACAATTATTCTTTAGTACTTCTTCTCTTTGTCTTACCCACTGCTTCCGCCGAATACATAATCCACTTCATGAACATAAGTATACACAAATACCAGAACAAAAGCAGCAAGAATACTATCTGTGGGATGTATTGTAGAAAAATCATCTCTGGTTTCTTGAAGAAACTGAAAGATGAGAAAAACAATACAGTAAAAGCTAACAAAATAAGCAAACTAATTTACAAATTAAACACCTTCAAACAGATTCTATGATTAAAGTCGACAAAAACACAATTTAATTTATGAGTGGAAATTTTTACTTTGTATGTATATATTAAAAAAGTTTTTTCATCATATTTGAAGGTGATTATGATTTAAGTAACTTGTTGAATATAGTAATTACTTGAAGTTTACCACACTCAATGTCACACCGAACGCCATGTGAATTACCCCGAATATAATTGATAATTTCATTTTAAACGAGTTCAGGAATATTATGTTGTTGGATGCGAACTGAAAGATTAATTTCATTGTTAGATTATTTTTTTTATCAAATATAAATAAAATGTACATAAAAAAATTATGCGTTAGCAAAAATAGCAAGGTAAAATAAATAAATGTACTTTCAGTACATATCTGCTGTGATTCAAATATGGACAGTAACGAAAAAAAAAATTAGTACAATACGCTATTTTTTATGTTTATAACGTAACATAACTTACTTATATTTAAATGAAAACCAAAATTAAATAAAAAATGTTACGTTCAATAAGGTTGAAGTCCATATATATATTTTTTCATTTTTATTATACTTAATATAAAACTTACTTGCCAAGCCGGATCGAGACCAAATGGATATGGTGTGTTACTGTAAGCATCTTTCGGATCTAAAGCAAACGACGATGTAGTGTTCATCAACGTGTTATAATCGTAAGGATTCTTCCAACTACTGCCAAATATGTTCAAGGATTTAGAAAACATGTCGTTATATATCAATCCAGTGTATATAGAAAATATGCCCATCAGTAGAATAATATATCGTCCTCCGAAGAAAATGTTCCATATTTCATTGTCAGTTTTGGTTTTAGCGAACTTCTTCTCATATATAACTAAGATGGCGGCAAATACTGTCATTATGATGCCGTGGCCCACGTCGCCGAACATTACGGCGAAAAGAAACGGGAATGTTATTATTGTATATAATGCTGGAAAATATATTAAAATGTTAATGAAATTACTTAGAAAGAGAGATCAAAGCCTCATCTCTAGAGCCAAAAATATTGCATCTTTTTCAGACTTCAGTACGTTTTTTATAACGATGGTCTGAATGACACGGCCTACTGCTTATTCTCGCTATATATTAGTATAATTGTGTAGTAGTTATACACAAAAGTATTGGACTACAGTGATTAAATCAATTTAAATTTTTGCATTTTCTTTGACGGTGTAGCTTTATTATGGCCTATGTTAGATGCGATTTTCGATTTATGAAAGCTTATTAGATATTATTAATAATTTCCACTATCCCACTATAAATGTATAAGTTTGTAAAGAGTTTCATATATTTGCTAGTTGGCACACAGAGGATGTGTATCTAATAGTAGCTAATGGATATTTAAGAAACCCACCTGGATTAACTTCTCTATAGCTAGCGATTCCATAGGAATCAATAAGAGCTTGAAAGCCACGCGTGAACTTATTAGTTCTATTGAAGGTGGGAGGAATTTCCAATGTCGGTACGTGGTGTAGGATTGATGGGATCGGACTACCTGATGCTTTCTGAAAATTAAAAGCTCAATTAAAACTTCAACGTGCCCTGTCTTTTATAGCTTTACTTGTCGTCAAACTAAATATTGTTAATATTGCAAGTACGGTTAATTGTAGGTGATTTTTATTAATTTTTTTTTTCACCGCATTATTATTTTTATATTTTCTCACGCTTGAGGGTTTCTGGTAGAGATCTCTTAAAAAGATAAGTCATCCTTTGTACACATGGTATCTGTTTTAACTTGTATGTTTTTTTTCTGGTACATAAATAAAAATTAAAAAAAAAGAAAATAAATTAACTTTAACAAGATAAAAGTAATTTATGAAGAGGTCTTCCCGACTGGCCGGTCTTTCGGCCACGGCGGCCAATTTAATTGAGACTAGCCAACTGCAGGAGATATTATACATAGTTCACAAGTGCAGGTGCAGATACCTGTATTCCTCTCCCTCTCAAATTGTATGTTAAAATATATTAATTTTATTGGAGTGAAATACCGGCAGCATCACAACTGCGGGTTGTCACTGGGGCTTTTTTTTAGCAGAAATGACTAAACTTGGCCCGACATGGGACTCGAACCCAGAATCTTCGAATGTGCAGCCATACATGCTAGCCACTACACCATTGAAAAAGTAATTATTGCAGATTTCATGTTATAATCAACTAAAACAGAGCGTACAATAATTTTTCGAATTCAGGATCTCCCACTTTATGACGAAAATTAGTTAATTATTGATAAACAATAAGAAGGCGAGTAAATCTTTCGAATATCTTTAGAAATATTAGTATTTTATAGTATAAGTATTTCATACAAAGGAGAGAACAGTTAACTTACCACGCCATTATCCAAAGCCTTTTGCAATATATGCAAATCTTTTCTAGGAACCCAGCATTCAGCTATCAAACATTTCTTTACTATATCCATACTGAACATGTTCAGTGTGTGATATATGGCTTTTTCCTTCCGTACTGCGACCATCCATGTACTTATGTCTCTTGCTATGTTTGTAAGAACTAGTCTGCGATGATTTTCTGTTTGTTCCAGAACCTAAAATTACATTTTTTTTATTACAATACATTTTATATATTAAAATACAATTGCTACACATGTCATTTTCATTGCTTATTTTTCTTAACGACCAATTAACCGAAAGAGTTTTTAATACAGAATTATTAGCTTTTAAAATACATATTTTACTTAAACAAAGACCAAAAGTCTTAGAAATAAAGCTTTATTTTTAAAATAGAGGAAAAAACTCTCTACTGTAAAGTACAACAAGTATTGGTTGTTTGGACAGATAAGCACTAAAGCGACTAAGATAACTAACTCTATTTAATCGCTTGGGATTTATTTCCATACTAGCATTGCTCGCGGGTGCGCCCGCGTTGAGATGACCAAAAAACCAAACTCTTAGGTTTTACATATTATTATACTCTTACAATACAGTTTTTGTATTTTCTCTCAGAAATGAGAAATTCTCCAGCAGTAAAAAGTATCCTATATGTTGACCCGCATAACCAGCTATCACCATACCAAATTTCATTAAAATCCGTCCAGTGGCTTTTCTGTCGTGCGGTAACAGACAGACAGGCAGACTGACAAAAATTCTAAAAACTATAGATTCGGCCTCTGTATCGATAATAATGTTTATTTCAATAACATTTTCCAAAAAATATTTAATGTACAAATTCGGCTGAGTTACAATTTTATTATATAAATAAATATATCTAATATAGATTGCCAACTTACTAATATAGGAATAATATTTCAATCAAATGTTTAACAAAGTCTAATTGCAATTGAAAGAGTATATACCTACTACTATCAAAAGAATTACAGAAGTAAGTTTGCTTGCAGGAAACTGTCATAAAAATATACCCTGTAAAGTATTTTTTCTACTGTTACACTTAAATTACATCATGATATGTTACATAGTAATATTTACTTTACTTATGTTATCATGAGTGAACAACAAACAACTGTGTCAAGGTAGAAACTCTTTTCTACTTACGGGTATCAAATAATATTATTGCTAGTTGTTGATTGTTATTGGGTAGCTATTATAGCTAAATATTGGTTCTTAAATATTTTTTTAAAGGGGTTAGACAATATGATATTTTACAATCATTGAAGTATTAAAAAAAAGTACGTGTGTGTGCAATTCACACATGGTAGAAGAGAAACTTAATCCATACTAATATTATAAATGTGAAAGTGTGTTTGTTTTCAATTATAGCAGAATAGTTTAGTTTAGTTACTAGTATAGTATTATATGATCTGTGCTTTAGTTTAGGTAGTTACATACAAATTTTCATCCCCTATTTTACCCCCTTATATGATGAATTTCGAAAAAATGTTGAAACATGTATTTATTTAATTTTATTAAAGAGCGTTAATACCAAGTTTCAAGTAATTCTGATCATAACTTTTTTTTAATTGTATTATAACGTATTTTCCCGTGGGAATTTGATAATCATCCGCGGTAAAAAGTAGCCTATGTCCACTCCAACTATCTCAACACAAAAAAAAATCACTTAAATCAGTCACACTGTTTAGACGTGAAAGAAGGACAAACAAACAAACACACTTTGACATTTCTGATATTAAGTATGGATGATATAAATATGTAGAAAAAATAAATAATTTTTTTTTTAAGTAGTAGCTTATCTGTAAAATAAACATTTTAAACAATGTTTGGACAGTAGCGTGTTATTGACTGATATAAACGTATTTTAAGTCGATTACTCTACTTTTTTATATGTATCGTAAATAATATAGAATATAAGTTGAATTCTGTGGGTATGAATCACCATTCCAAGAATAAGACTTTGCTAATTTCTTGGGTCATACATGTTGGATAATGGTTGACTACGAATTTTTTTTATTATATAGTGTACTAGCATTGCCCGCGGCTCCACCTGCGTTCAGATGACCAAAAACCAAATTCTCAAGTTTTACATATTAGTATACTTTTACGATGCAGTTTTTGTATTTTTTCTCAGAAATGAGATATTTTCCCGCGGTAAAAAGTTAAAAAATATGTTGACCCGGATTACCAGCTATCATCATACCAAATTTCATCAAAATCTGTCCAGTGGTTTTCTCGTGATGCGGTAACAGACAGACAGACAAAAATTCTAAAAACTATAGATTCGGACTCTGTATCGATAATAAAGTCTATTTGAATTAGATTTTCCAAAAAATATTTAATGTACAGATTCGACTTAGTCACAATTTTATTATATGTATAGATTTTCCATACAAAAATCGAGTTAATGGTATTCCTACTATGCGTATCCATTTTGCTAAAAATGAATAAGCCAGTCGAAGCATTAAATACAATAAATACATCAAATCAATCATAGCTAAACAATTTTGAGCCATAATTTTTTTATTATCACTTCCAGGACGTTATCGGTTCTATCAATAATTCAGAAAAGAAATATCGCAACCTACCTAAAAAAAAAATCCGAAAAAAGTCTATAAGCGTTCTTACCATTGCTAAATCTTTTATCCTTGTTTCGATCCCTCCTAGCATGTCCTGTTGTTCTTTGTACGTCGCAGGACAAGGGTATAAGGTTGCCTGGAAACCATGACACACCTTTTTCACTCTCAGTTTTATTTGTTCACCGTGAAAGAATACCACAAAGACTGTCTTTTGGAGCTCGTGACCCTGAAAATAAAGAAGTTATTTTTTTAAGTTTATAAAATATAGCAGATAGCATATTCCACTTATGTACGAATAAAGTACATAAAATAAAATGAATTTCAGTAAATTTAACCGTTTAAAATAAAATGTAAACAGCCCCATCTGCGAATATGATTTTGAGATATGTATATGGACATCAAATCTAATCTATCTAAATGTGATTAATTTATAAGGAAACTAGCGGCTTACCCTTGCTCTGCTCGGGCGCGTCTCTATGTACGTATTTATTTTTTTTAATTCTTTTTCTAAAATAAAAGTAGCCTAAGTTACTACTTATAACATCAGCTATCTGCCACTGAATGACCCATCAAAATCAGTTCAACCGCTTCGGAGATTAACCAGAACAAACAGGTAGATATATTTTTTTAAAGTTTTATCTTTTTTATAAGTATCGTATATAATTTGACTAACAGGCTAACTCTCGTTTCGCTCGGGTTCGCCTCTAGAAACACAAAAACAAATCTATCCCACAGGAACCGTACATTTTTCCGGCATAAAAAGTAGCCTATGTATTATTCTGAAGTATGAGCTGTATTTTTACAAAGTTTCATTAAAATCCATTCAATACTTTTTGCGTGAAAGAGTAACAAACATCCATACATCCATCCATACTCACAAGCTTTCACATTTATAATATTAGTATGAATATGCATTTTAGAAAAAGACGCCTCATGATTGTGTAATATAACTATAAGGAATAAACGACGGACGGATAGATAAACGGCCCAGCGCTGTACCCTTCGCAGTATGTATCCGGACTGCGGTGCGCCAATTGCCGACCCCTGCTTTAGTCTTTCCTAGACCCATAAACAATTACCAAGCAAAAATCACATCAATCCGTTTCTGCTTGAAAATAGGACATATCAAAATATTCTCACATTTATGATTAAATAAGGACGGTAGAGAATCAAACAGTCCGATAATAATAATCGACACATATAATTGTTCAATAGAACATACTATATAAATATACTATATAAATATATAATAAGTAAATCAAAAACAATTCATATAAAGTATAAGCTTTATTAGTCATTTAATTAATACGTGAAAAGTGCTCGCTCGTTATAAATAAATTATAAAACCTCCGTGGAAAGTTAGAAAATCGATAAAAAATCTGAGTCAACGACCTAGTACCATTTACCGTGGCATGCTTAGTTCTAAGCCTACTAGTTATTGATCAATATAATGCTAATTTCATACTACAATATTTTAATTCTTTTAAATTGTGTAGTCTCTTAGTAATTCATATTATTAAAATATTATTTAGGTTGAGGCAGTGGTAGCCCAGGGTAACGCGTTCGTTAGCTAAACCGAGTAAAGTGGGTTCAAATCCCTCGTCTCGCACCTCTGCTAATTTCATGTGTGAATCATAGCCAATATGATTACCACATGTCTGCCTAAGCAAGTCAAAACCTAGCAAGTTTTCGAAAGACATGTGTAGTCCGCCAACCAGCACTTGGCTAGCACGGTGGTCTATGGTCCGATCTCCTTCGTATTAAAGGGAGACCCGTGCCCAGTAGTGTGACGTTAAAAAGAACTGAATCTATTCATTATTTAGATTTTTGCTCCATGTGAATGGTTTCTTCGTTTTGAACAATATTACGTATGCTATAATTATATTATTTAAGTAAAACTTAAATTACTTAAATCTTATAATAGCATGTAGCACGTAGACTATGTCTAAAATAATCATATTAACTTAATAAAAGGATATAGTATTACACTTGTACTATATGTAAGTTTTTGAGGTCAACCCATACATTCAAGAAATTATTATTTTTATGTCATTTATTAATTTATACATATAATGGACTAATATTAAATAAATAACAATTGCATACTCAACTCTCCTCACTAGGTCCGGGGTTCGCGAAATATACACGAAACAAACGGACGTACACCTATATCACTAATATATAATATATAACTTACTCCTATATTAGGCGTGTTGTACTAAATATTTAATTTTTTTAATTAAAATTCCAGATTTCAAGAAAAACAGCATCTTTTTACGTCGGCAGTTTTTGATATTGCACAGTAATTCAAGTTTAGAATCAGTATCTAATCATTTAAGTGTAAAGTAGTTAAATAAGCCATCAAAATCCACCACTCATATCATCACAAGATAAAAGATCACAGCGGGCCTTTACCTTAAGCCTTTAAGTAGTCTGTTCTAAATGACCCTATACTTTGTTTTATCAGTGATTTACTTGATATGTCTATATGTGATTAAATTCAAGTATGGAGCAATATTATTGTAAACTAGCATTGCCCGCGGTTCCGCCCGCGTCCAGATGACCAAAAACCAAATACCAAATTTTTAGGTTTTACGTATTAGTATACTCTTACAATGCAGTTTTTGTATTTTTTCTCAGAAATGAGTTATATTTTCCCGCGGTAAATCCTATATGTTGATACGGAATCAGCTATCACCATACCAAATTTCATCAAAATCCCTCCAGTGATTTTCCTGTGATGCTGTAACAGACACACTGACAGACAGACAAAAGTTCTAAAAACTATAGATTCGGCCTCTGTATCGATAATAATGTTTGTTTCAATAAGACTTTCCAAAAAATATTTAATGTACAGATTCGGCTTAGTTACAATGTTATTATAAGTATAGATAAAGGAGTTACGTCCCAACAATTTTACTGGCACTGTGCTATTTTATTACAGCTTTGGGATCTATACTACATGTATAATTTATAGGCACGTGTCACGTTTAGAAAAAAATATGAGAGTAAAATTTTTACGATGCGCGCGCACACCGACAGCCAAAAAGCGACATGATGAAGTTAGCTGTATTCCTTTTACAAACAGAGAGATGCGACATGCGGAATTAAATCTTTAGCAATATTTGTTCTCTTACGCCAAAGAAATATAATTTCTTACGTGTGTACATAAGTACACACACACGTATTTTTTCATAGTAGCTAATAACAACCTTTAATGTTATCAATAAAAAAATGTTGAAATCAGCTTGTTTTTTCATTATAGATAGATAAATTCTATACATATAGGTTTCCCTAAAATTTTCAATAATGATTATGGTCGAAAATCGTGCACTAGACGAACATTATTATTATTAAAACGTCACACACAGTGTGTGGACACACTAATAAATCGTGTATGTAATATTAGTGTCATACTAACCGTAACAGGATCCTTTAAGGGGTTATCAATTTGGGCTTGCTTGAAGAAAATATTTCCATGTGATATCCTCCATAACATTCTTTCGAAGGAGGGAACTCGCGGCGTGGTCACAACACCCGCTATAAAACCTAAGTGGCTAATAGCTTCGTTATTGTATATTTGGACGGAGGCTGAGATCTTTCTATGTGCACTGTGGTCTTGGAAGAACGTTTGAGTTTTCTCAATAAGAATTTTCAGTTCGATCAGTGCTAGATAATCTGTTTTCAGGTTTTGGGCATTTCTTGTTATCTCCTGGATTTCTGATTCAATGTAATCAATTCTTTCCTGTAAATAGTAATAAAATATAGATGATGTGTACTTTAATATAAGTAATTAATTAAGTTATAAACTACTATATAATTTATTTATAACATAGTAATTAAAACTACAAAGTAATCTTACAAAGATAATATTACAGCGACTCGCACTCGCTTCGCTCGGCTTCGTCCCTAGGTGATTCTTTAAAATGACATTTTTTTTATTTATGAACCGATTTGAAATAAAACAAATAAATGTTAAGTGAAACTTACCTCAATATATTAATGAAAATCGCACACAAATCAGTTAAGCCGTCTCTGAGATTAGGGTGCACAAACGCACAGACAAATAGACAAAATTATTGTTTTGGGTTCTCTTGTATTAATAAAGACCCCTAATTATAGTTTTTTCTCAAATATCTTCCATGTACAGACAGCGACCAGTTACAATTTTATTATATGTATAGATGACTAGCGACTTAGCCTCCCCTCGTTCTGGTGTAGGTATCTCTAAATGTTTTTTGTATTTATTATATTTTGGTTAATTAACACGTTTTTATTAGCTTCACTTGTACCTAAGTAGCTAACTAACAAACAATGTAATAAAATCTTATAAGTTAATTCTAATCTACTTTTAGTTGTCGTATCGATATGAAATTTTGTATGTATATGTAGTTCGGATGACAAAACTATAATTTGGTATCTTGGAGCTGATCTGATGATGCAGTCAGGAGATGAATAGCAGAACTCTTCGGTGGTTATTAGTAAGCCCCACGAGTTTAGGCTTATATAATTTGTCTTCATGAGTCTCAAACGTTTTGATTCATCAAAAGCGTGTTTTTTAGTTTTTTAAAACTATAATTATTACTTTACTACTAATAGTAGACTTTGTGTTACTTGAGGTTATATATCTGTGTCATTTCATGCGTCTTGCTGTTCTGCCTTAAGAAGTAACAAGCAAACATACATACATACACACTTTTTTATTTATACTAGTGTGCTTAAAACTACAAAGTTTTCTTACTAAGATAATATTAATAATATAAATAATGTATATTATCTGAAATGGCTAAAGTGTCATGTGCTCTGACTGATTGGTTTTGCCTGATGATATCCGATATGAAATGTGCCAAGTACAGTATAAGTTAATGTTAGCTATCACATGCGGTTAATGGGGTTTCATGTTTTTAAGGTTAAATGCAGATTAGACTTAATTTTGGACCTATGTTCATAATACTGGCTTAAAAAGCTTATTCATTTGACGACACGTTTGGTTCCGTTTGTAGTGTGCTACTACATTTAAAGGTTGATACAGTTAAAGGAGCCTGCGCACACATTTGCACACTTGTGCACTATAATATTCCCCGGTTTTGGTTAGTCTCAGTATGTTTGAAGCAGTAATAGAAATCGTTTAAGGGGTTAGATTGTTATTAATTATATAATTACTTGCATGTATCGCTATAATATATGTATAAGTTACCTCTAATATGTTAATCTCTCGTGGTGTCAGCACTCTAGGCGAGAGTTTGGGCGGAGGCGGCGGTTCGGGGAGTTCCCCACTCACCCATCTCAACTTGCGCTCCATTTCACTGCATCGCCGTACTTCGGTCACGTAGCGACGTTGAAAGTCGTTCACGTGTGGGTTTAACTAAAACAAAGATATTCGTATAAACTACTTACGTTGTAAATAATATGTATATTAGATAAAGGTAACGCCACCTTTTTGAAGTGAAACTTCCTTAAAATCGTTGTGATTTGAAACTCGATGAAACGGAAATGCGACACTAAAAAGAGATAAACACATAAATATATAGGATTGGGCCTGCGAGAGAAAGAGATAATGAGCTAATGGAATTACATAGGCACAGGGAATTTTACTTGCTTTTCAAAAGTCAATTATTCTCTGAGCATTTTTATACGCAAAAGATTTCAAATGTAAACGGATTTTAACTATATAGTAGGTTCGATTCTTGGGACGTATTCTTAGGCACAAGAAGTTATCAGCCAGTAAGCATTAAATCTTTAAGTCTTGGGGAAAACAAAGGAGTTCTCTCTTTATATCACCTATCTGCAGAATGAATATTATGCCAAAATAGCAATATACACGTGAATGTCAAGCTTTGAACCCATTTCCGTTCATATTTACGATAGTTAATTTTAATTTAGTGTCTAATTCCATATATTCCACACACTATGTTATTTTTTTAAGTTAATTGGATATAAGTATTACTACAGAAATGTAAACAGTATATCTATTGTACATATAAGAAACACATACACATGCATAGTACATTGTACATATAATAAAATTGTAACAATTTGATATTTATTGTAATATATTTGAAAAAAAGCTATAATTGGTCTTTATTAACGCAATAGAACTTAAACCAACGACTTTTAGAATATTTGTCTGTTTGTTTGTGCGTTTGTGCGTGCTAATCTCAGAAATGGCTTAACCGATTTGGGTGCGGTGTTCCGTAATGTATAATTGTGGTAAGTTTGTTTTATTTCGATCGGGTTATAAATAAAGAAGTTGTTTCAATTTAAAGAATCACCTTGGGACGAACTCGAGCCAGGTGACGGTGAGTCGCTAGTAAACAATATATTATCTAGTAATATGAACCATATTTTCTTTAAAAAAATTATTATATCTATATTGCGACATCGAAAATTGAGTGCCACAATAAAATAGTAAAGAGACCGCACCTTAACACCAAAATAGACCAATTGGCTATTTGCAGCATCCGATCTCCATCGCTTTTATTACTCTCTATTACGCCATTTATACTTGTTGCTTTATGTTTTATTTCATGGCAAATTACACTATAAATGACATCTTTATTTAAAAAAATAAATTTAAATTAACGTTGCATTTTATTAGTTTTTCGTGATTATTTATTTATTTATTTATTATTAAAGTTCTCGTGTCAGTCTAAAGTACTAGTATGTGCCTATACTGAAGGTTACGGGTTTAATTCTTGCATGAGGTAAAAGATATCTTCATTAAAGCTGCCTTTAAATATATATTCAGAAATAATTTGTGTCCAATTTTCTTGAAATAGCAAAATTGGCAAAGAAATTTCAACTACGTTATAATTATCGAGACTTATCCACTAAACATGACGCCCGCTTTGTACACGATTGAGCAGAACTAGAGCACAATGTTCAATCCTTGTGTATGTGTAATTTACCGAGGGAATGATTTTTTAATTCAGGCTATAAACATGTCCAGTAAAACGTTTCTTCGAAATCTGTCAGTCATTCTTGAGTGGTGTAACAATAACGTTTAATCTGTCGATTTAAACTATCTTCAAAATTACTTAATAAGTAAAATATATTTCTTGAATTCTAACAAGAAGAATAATAACAAAGGATCATGAAAATCGTCATACAAAATAATTTATAACCAAATTGAGTATGTCCTCTTTTTTTATTTGAACTTTATTTAAAACTTTAATCTCTAAGCTATCTAGAAATATTTTTCTCAGATTTACTCAAATATTTGAAATTATAAGTAAAACGATCTTATGGATTTTTTCCCAGATTTATAGTGATTTTTGGTTCCTGACATTTCAGGACCCAGATTCAAATCCGAAATGAAAGTTTTATCTAATATATTGTCTATTACATTACAAAACTCTCCAAATACAAAACTAAATATTTCAATATACAACTTTCTGCGTTTCAAGTTTATTATTTATAGAAATATAAAATACCTACACAGTTATAATATGTATAATCTAGGTAAGTACTACATTACTATACTATACTATACTAGTAGGTATACTTATTGTTACACCTCTGGAAATAATCCCTCATTGTAACTACAGCAAGTGGATATGACAGTAATAAGCCATACGCCACTTATATTTAGTTACATAAGCGATAAAATGCCGCTCGCTTCATTGTCGTTTTAATTAAAACAATTATTGCAGCCATGTTACGTTCACTGTGATTTTTCACACAATTAGTATAATTATCGTATCATTCTATCATCCATATTTGAATGTTACGGACCTCCTTTCAATTGAAGGGGATCAGGCCATAGTGGCCACGCTGGCCAAGTGCTGGTTGGCAGATTTTAAATGTCTTTCGAAAACTTACTAGATTCTATCAGACGTGCAGGTTTCTTCATGTCTTCTTCACCGTAGTGACATAGGATATGTATTAACTTTCTAATCGTATATTATGTTAAGTTGGAAAGTACTGATACGATTTTCAGCTTTTGAATTCATTTGTGAAGAATCTGTTTGATGCATAAAGGGGACGTATTCTGTAAGAGCTGAGTTTGGTTCAGCTGTAATAGGTTTTTTTGATGATCACAAATTAGCAAAATTATCATACCAATGGGTAGATACTCTATTATATCATAATAACATTGTTTTAAATTGCTAAGTTCTAGAGTTAATAAATTTATATAAATATCCCTTTTTAGGGTTCCGTACACGAAGCGTGTCAACGGTACCCTATTACTATAACTCATGAGCCCTAATAGGTAGAGAGTTTAAATTTTTATAGAGTACTAACATTGCCCGCAGCTCCGCCCGCGTTCAGATGACCAAAAACCAAATTCTTAGGTTTTAAACATTAGTATACTCTTACATTGCAGTATTTGTATTTTTTCTCAGAAATGAGACATTTTGTCACGGTAAAAAGTATCCTATTTGTTGACAAGGATAACCAGCTATCACCATACGCAATTTCATCAAAATCCCTCTAGTGGTTTTTCTGTGATGCGGAGACAGACAGACAGACAAAAATTGTAAAAACTATAGATGCAGCCTCTGTATCGATAATAATGTTGATTCGGCTTCGTTACAATTTTATTATATGTATAGATGTAATTTCTATTGCCACTAGAACAACAGATTATAAGAATATTGTCAAAAATCATCATTTACCTTACCTATGCACCTATGAATTACTATAATCTTAAAAATTATAGCCTATACTCTGATGTACAAGCTTTATTACCTACTGCAAAATTTCATTAAAAGCAGGTAGTTTTTGCATGAAAGAGTAACAAACATCCATCCTCACGAGCGATAATAGTAGGATATCTTTTATATTATGCTTCTATTCTTCACTTGTAGTTAACTTTGTAATCAAAACTTTAAAACTCCCGTATGTGTGAATTATGAGAAATTCAGATGACCCTTAAATATAATATTATCCAAACGGAGCGGAATAAAAAAGCTCTTCATTAGATATGTAGTAAAACCAGATATTAACGTTAACCATAAAATTTCCACTCTATAGGTGATGGATCGATTTAAAAAATATATCATTTATTTATTTTGCGTATACTTGCTGTATACGTAAAATAAATATCTCTATTTAACAGTAAGTAATTGATTAAAAGGGTACACTTTCCCGAATAGAAAAATGGAATAAGACCTTCAAGTTTCAGCTCATTTTGTTCGTTTAAGAAGTCTTCACATTAAGACACTCATATTTCTAACAAAAAATAAACCATGACCTGATTCACTCCGTCCTACACGTCTGCTGAATGAATTACTTAAATTCTCACTGTTCTTAGTATGAATTCTGCTTTAGTTCTAGTTTATTCTATAGTTTTTTTGAAAACTTTGTTACAAATTGTGTCTGATCTTTTGTTGGTTACATTTTTACAGCTAAACTCTGAAACTCATAAAAAAATCAAATACAGGGGTAACTTTCATTTAGTTAATGTACATACATACATACATTTACAAGTATAAACTATTATTTTAAGAAAAAGTAGATTCCAAGGGATAATCATGAAATGTTTATTATTTTAAGAAATCATGAAAATCATCTGTTTTTTCAATGGAAAAAAACTGGATGGTCACTTCATAGTAGTTATACTTCATAATGTAAAGAAGAGTTTTAGTGTGATAACAATTTAAAGCTATAATTTAAAGCTATAAAGCTTTTATTATGTCTATTGCAAAGAATTTAATGTGTTTATTATGATAAGGTTTATGATACTTTAATTTATCGTCAACGAGGTTATGAGTTTCGCAGTAGTTATATGTCTGAGGTCTTCCATTTAAAGGGAGTGGGAAAACGGCACCAAATCATGGATTCTTCTGCCATTCACTAATATGATCATGTCAATTGGTGACCATATCCAGGACACTTCAGGCGTTGAATTGGAGGAGGAGCTGAACAAGCGATGAGCCTAGCCAGGTGAGACACTTAGTTACCGTGAGGGAGAACCAGCAAAGCTATCAGTGATCATTTGTTGCAGCAACTCCAGCGTCGGCGGCTCACATATCCAGAGGAACTGGTGATTTTCTTGAGGGCGATGGATTGGATGGTGCGTTTTTACCTCTGGTATTCTAAGATCAGTACGAACTATGTGTGTAGCTATATGATCTCTCTGATATCTAATTAGTACTACTTGTTCAGTTGAAGGTCATGGGTTCAATGTTTGCTATATGCCAGTGGAAAAGTTAAAATAGAAACAAAAAAAATATCGCAACAACTATATTAATAGCGAGTGGCCTTGGATTATAATGTCGTTGGACTTAAATCCGGTTGGTTCTAAATATTATTAGAGATGGGCCAAATATCGACTTGGACTAGCCGGATTGATGACTATTTAGCGTTTAAATGGTCGATAAATGAAATTGGCTAATCTTCTATATAAATAAAAATGAATGT